AGATCCAAACACAAGTTCCTCAACTCCAGGTCCAGGACTCTGATTATCTTACTATTGCAATATTGTGATAATCACCAGATTCTTATCTATTTGCTTAAACATGTCGACTAGATTGACTATCACTTACAGGCTATATGATAAGAGATTGACTTATCCCGCATTTAGAATGGAATTTCCTTTTCTTAGAGTGATTCTATAATCTTTCCTAAATCAAGGTTAATATCAGCAGAAGTGTTCTGCAAAGCTCTCTACCTGCATAATCCAGGGATATAACATCTTCAACATCCAATTTGGCCATTTCATCCATTATAAATTACTGCTGTAGTATCTTTTTGATGACACTCATTTTAAACTTGCTTCCCATTCAATTCCATCTAAATTATTTCTCTTCTCAAACACTAAAGAAACAGGTGAAGATGATGCTTTGGAAGTACAGTTTTGCTGCTTTTTGCTCTATTATTTTCTTTTAGATTCTTAAGCTACTACCTTAATTCCAAGTAATGTATGAACCATTGGTTTTAAGTTTCTGGTACTGTGTGGGTCTGTATAGTGTAATATTTCATTCAAAACTTAAAGGATCAACGATTTCTTGGCTGTAGGTACTTCTCCCCCTCCATGAAGATCACCCTTGCTCTCTGCATCTTCTCCCTCCCCCCCACATACAAATACCAAATGCCTTAGCAGAGGCAGGCTCTCTCAGTGACTTAAAAAATCACACCCTGCTGACCACTCTTCTCTCCTTAGAGGTGTCAGGCTGAACGAACACTGGTTAGGCACATTATAGTGGGAATTCCTTTCATATATGTGTCGGGTTAGTTTCTGATGTACCTTCTAACGCTGGAATTCTGGGATTCATCATGGTGTAGAGTTGTCTAAGCAAAGAGACCTGGCGATGATTTATGAATCTGTTATTTAAGATTCAACTTGGCTACATTCAGAGAAACTCTTAACCAGGAGAGGTTCCAAGATAATGAATATAGATAATATTAACCAGGATAATGAATATTAAAAACTGTTCTTTGAGCCAAGCCATCCATCAAATTGCACTATTTTCTAAATTTTCAGGGAGGGAGTGAGTGTGTGTATTGTATGTATGTGTGAGTGTGTATGTATCTATATATTTTTACTTATTTTTGCTGGCACCTATGATTTCATTGGCATAGAAAACTGGGGAAGAAACTTCCTCTGTCAATGCAGATCAGCTCAGATTTGGTTTAGCCAATACCTGTCAATGACAGCACTAAGTCATCCTGACTCTGAGGCTAGCTCTTAACCATTATGTCATAGTACCTCTCATGTGTGTATGTTTTATGTGTATACATAGACACACACACATGTGTGCACAAACACACACAGAGAGACATGAGAGGTAGCCTGGTATAAGTGGATAGAGAGCTGTCATTAAAGCCCCAAACAAGTCCTGACTCTGTCTTGTCCTGGCTGTGTGTCCCTCATCAAATCACTTAAACTTTTACTGCTCTAGACTCTAGTGCATAAGGATTCCTGTAGGCTACATATTGCCATTTTAAGAATGTCTAGATTTTGTTGTATTGTAATAGCTATATTTTATTGTATTTTTATTTCATTTGTTAAATATTTTTCAATTACATTTTTTTATGGTTCAGGCTGCACTTGGGAAGGTTGTGAGCAGCCTTCTTGATACCATTGGCCTAGGCAGCCAACCCTCTAAAACTACAAATTACAGAGAATATGCCAACCTAGATTGGTAGAGGGGGTTTCCTTATTTGAGAATTCTGCATTCCAATTAAATCATAGGCCAGTCAGTCTCTTTATACAGCTAGAGATATTCATGTGTGTTATTTCATTTTGTATCTTAACTCTGCACTATGGCTTTTCAGAAGAGATAGAATACCATAAAATGGTAGATATTATCTTGGTAGGAGAAGGGGTTTGGATGCTGGAAATCAACCTATTTAACCAGTTAGCCTAAAAAGAATATAATCTTCCCCTAATGTGGATAAGGAATAAATCCAGAAAATGCAGTGATTCAATTACATTAATTAACAATAACAGTCCATTAGCTCATTTATTCCAACAATGTTCCCATGAAAAGTCATCCTCCTTGCTAAGGCTGTGTAGAATTACTCTTAATTCATATATTATGGATTGTTTCTTCAAGTTTTTATTTATTCTTAGTCACTGGCTTTGTTTGGTACCTAGCTTCAGGAGCCAGCTCTTGCCTGGCCTACATCATCACATTGGAGAAAAGTCTTAGGAAGTATTATTCAAAATACATGATTTTAAAATACAGCCTCAGCCATGTAGTTAGAGTTTTATTATGACCTGGTAGCATCTGATCAACATTTTGTACAAGAAATAAACTACATGACTAGAGAGAATTGCTAGCCCTAATATCTTAATTTTCAGAGCTGGAGATTGGCTGACTAGTCTTGTTCATAAATAGGATAAAAAGAGACAAGTTGACTTAAGAGTATCTATTTCCAAATATTTAGAGTTAACACATCTTGTAATTTTTTATCTTTCTCATAAAATCAGAATCTTAAAGCCGATTGAAAAGAACCTTAGAGATCAACGAGTCCAATCCCCCCAATTTTATAGTTGTGAAACTAAGGCCCAGAGAAGGAAAATCACTTGCCTGAAGTCATACCACAAGTTGGTGATGGACAAAATGCTGAAGGACTATCCTGTGTTGTCTTAAATCTCAACCCACTGTTCTTTTCATAACACTGCCCTGAATTTTATCCTCATAGTTCCTTTCAGAAGCCAGGCATCTATAGTATAATGGAATAAATATCAAAACACCTGGATTCAAGTACTAGCTATGTCACTTTCTAGCTATGTGATATGAAGAAAGTAATTTCATCTCAGTTTCCTCATCTGTAAAATGAAGGGATTGGATTCAAATGTCCTAACATCATTAGGGAAATCTAGGGACTTATTGGACAGAGCCCTGGACTAGAATCCAGAGAGGCCTGAGTTCAAATTAGCTGCGTGACCATGGACAAGCTACTTAGTTACCTCATCTGTAAAATTTGTATAATAGCACCTACCTCCCAGGATTGTTATGAGGATAAAAATGAAATCTTTGGAAGGCATTTTGCACATAGTAGGTGCTAATAAATGCTTGTAAATCAAAAGTAAAAATCTGAGGTGTCCTTCAGCACCAATGTTCTAGAATCTTTTCTATCCTCTTTTTCTTTCTCTACCTTCTACTTTAAGCCATAACTTCCTTAAAAATGAAAATAACCTGAGTTACATGCTCTGTTCTTAATAACTTCGCCTAACTCTTGAGATTAAAATATCAAGAACATAAGCAATAGCTAACATTGAGAAATATGAACTCTTTTACCTGCCCATTCTCCCATTGATCGAAAGAAAGACTTTGGCAATGGATTCCATAAACGCAGGAGAAAATATTTGAAGAACTTCACACACTTCAGCAAATAGTTCAGACACACCAGTGCCCCTACAAGGATTAAAAGTTGATCCTGAATTTCACCCATGGCCAACCTGGATTGTGAATGTTGATGAAATTCTAACACTGACTGCCGTGCAGCTGAGTTTGAGGTCAACACCAAAAAAAAAAAATGCGTCCAGTGAAAAGTAAGGTCAGATGAGTTCCTCCCACTGACCCATAAAAGATCACATTGAAATAACCCTTTCACATCAGACTAAGATTCACTGACTATTGGAGTGGCCAGAAGGTTTTTTTAAGGGATTATGGGTAGGGGCAAAATAGAAGAAAAGGGAGCCTGATCATGGATAAAACGGTGGCCTGTGATTTGTCTCCCAGAAATGGGAAACTGAAAAGTACAAATAAAGAAGTGCCTTGCAATAGGACAGAGAGAACTTGTCTATCATGAGGCTCTGATTAGGATGTAGCAATTCATTTTTTACTCAAGGGGAATGAATGTTATCTGAAAGGAGGGTAAAAATGATGTTGAATAGAATTCAGTGAGCTAAGGTTCCTAGGTACCAACCTCACACACACACACACACACACACTTTATTAGAAGAGGGAGCAGAAAAGGGAAGAAGTGTTAGCATTGAAATTTGATTTACATTTATAAGCTGGTATGGAGATTTCCCTGAGTAAACTTAAGAGGATGTTCTCATCCAAGAAGTTTCCAGGAGAAGAGATTATAGGATCAGTGAAGGACTTTTTTATAGCTGGAAGGGGCAAGAAAAGAGAGGAAGACAGATCCAAAAGGTTACAGTTAAATGCAGTAGTTTGGAGGATCTCAAGGTCAGCAAGATGTCTACAATCCCATTCGCAACATCCACAACGATACTATGTGCTTCTCAATATCACAATGTCTCCATGCCTTACTGCTTCTGTAAACTCTATTTCCTCAATGGAAATAAATGACTGTATTTGGAAAATAACCAAATAGTGATCATCAGAAACCAACAAGAGCACAAAAATTATGTTTTACCAAACAAAATTCATGTCCTTTGATGCTGTTGAGTCATTTTTGATTGTGCCCAACTCTTTGCGACTCCCATTTGGGGTTTTCTTGGCAAAGATACTAGAGTGGTTTGGCATTTATTTCTCCAGCTCATTTTATAGATGAGGAAACTGAGGCAAGCAGGATAAAGTGACTTGCCCAGGATCACACAACTGGTAAGTATCTGAGGCCAGATTTGAACTCAGGAAGATGAGTTTTCCTGACTTCAGGACTGGCACTCCATCTACTCCTGCCTTCACATCCTTTGGTGATAGGTTATTCAATGGGTATTCAAATGGAATCTTGTAGACCTATCATGCCTGGATTTCAACATGGCATCTGACAATCACTCATGAAAAAGTTGAAGAGATGTAGGCTAGGTGATTGTACAGTTAGGTGGAGATGTAATTGTTTGGATAACCATGCTCAGAGTTTTCATTAGTGAATTGATATCGACCAGAAGATCTCTAATGGTACACCCCAGGACTCGGACACTGGCCCTATTCTCTTTAATATTTTTATGACTTGGATGAAGATAGTGATGACCTGCTTACCAAATTTGTGGATAATATGAAGCTGGAAGGGACAGCTGACACACTGGATGACATGTTTGGGATCCAAAAATCTCTTGGGCTGAAATTAGCCAAATCTAACATGACAAAATTTAATCATGATAAATGTAAATGCCTTCATTGTATTTTCAAAAAAAATTAGCACAGAATAAGAGGATGGGAAGGTAACAAGCAATGATTAAGTGCCTGCTGTGTTCCAGGCGCTATGCTAAGTGCTTTACAGATATTATCTGATTTGATCCTCACAACAATCCTGTGAAGTATTATGACCTCTACTTTATAATTGAGGAAACTGAGGCAGACTGAGGTTAAATGACTTGCACAGGGTCACACAGCTAGTAAGTTTTTGAAGCTTTGAACTGAGATCTTCCTGGCTCCAGGCCCAGTGCTTTTTCCACTGTGTCACTTGAGAAACATCTGTAAAATTAGGATGTTATTTATAGGGGCTACCTCACAGGGTTGCTGTAAAGGCCGAATAAGTTAATAGATGTATAATAGGCTTTGCAAGTCTTCTTCAGTCATTTCAGTTGTGTCTGACTCTTTGTGACCCCATTTGGGGTTCTCTTGACAAAGATACTAGACTCGTTTGCCGTTTCCTTCTACACATATTTTACAGATGAGGAAACTGAGGCCTAAAGAGGTAAAGTGATGTATCCATAGTCACAGAGATATAAGTTTCTGAGGCTGGATTTGAACTCAGGTCTTCCTGATGCTATTCACTGTACTGCCTAGTTGCCTTTGCAAGCAGTAACATGCTATGTTAATGTCTACTGTTGTTATTATGATTATTATACACAGAATGGTGATGACTCAAAAACCTGATCAATGGGGAACATATGTTGAAATAACTGGACACAGTGTAGAGAAGAAAAGTCTTGGTGAGGATAGAACAGGTTTAAAAGCATTTAAAGGTCCCTTATACAGAAAAGGGATTAAACTTATTCTATGTTGCTCCAGAGGACAGAACTAAGACCTACATGTGGAAGTTATAGGAAAGCAAATTTTGATTTGTTATTCATTTATGTTTAGTGACCTGAAACTGGAATTAGCTTCCATGTAAGGTAATGAGCTCTCTAGCACTAGAAGTATTTTACAGAATTACAGAATGTCGGAGTTGAAACAGACTCCAGAGGACATCTAGCCCAACCTACATCTGAACTAGAATCCCCTGTACAACATCCTCAATAAGCAATCTACCAGTCTGTGATCGAATATTTTAAGAGAAGGGGACCTCACTACCTCTGCCACTTGACATATTCTGCTTGGGGATAGTTCTAACTGTCAGAAGGGTTTTCCTTGCATCCACTATTGTGCCCAGTTCAAACCAGAGCTGGCGGCATGGTAGAGATAGCTAGTAATGCAGTGGATAGAGCACTGGCTCTACAGTCGGGAAGACTTCAGCTCAAATCAGGTCTCAGAAATTTATTAGCTATGTGACCCTATGCAAGTCACTTAACCTCTGTTTGCCTCAATTTCCTCAATTGCAAAAAAGCATTTACCTAACAAGGTTATTAGGATCAAATGAGATATTTGTAAATGTACCTGACATATAGTAGGCACTATATAAATGCTTATTCCCTTACCCCTCCCTTCCTCAAACTGACAGCTTTTAAAGTATTTGAAGACAGTTGTCACGTTTCCCCACTAACCTCCTCTTTTCCAAATGAAACATCTCAAATTCCTTCAATAGTTTTTCCATATAGGATGAATTTGGAGCCCTTCTTCAACATGATAGACCTTATCTAGATTATCTAGAATACTAGTCTTTCCTAAAATGTAATACTAAGAAATGAATGCAATCTGACAGATAGAATCTGAGCAGGAAAGATTATCACCTCGCTGGTCCTCAATACTATGTCTCTCTAAGATTGAATTAGCCTTATCTCACTTTTGATTCATACTGACCTTGCAATCCATTAAACTCTCCATATCTTTTTCAGGTGGACTATTTTCTATGACTCCGACATCTTGTAGTTTTGAAACTGATGGTGGAAACTGTAAAGAAAAATCACTTTGAAAGACTTAGGAACTCTGTTCCCTGTAATAATCAACCTTGATTCCAAAAGACTGATGACGAAGAAGGCTACCTACCTCCTGACAAAGAGAGAATGGAATCAAAGTGCAGAATGCAGTATATTTTTAGACACAGCCAATGTGGTCACACGTTTATTTGTCTATGCGTGTTTGTAAGAAGGATTCTATTTACTTTTTTTTTTCAGTTTGGGGGTGGGGAGTTAGGGGAGGGAAAGGTATGTTAGTGATAGAGTTGCTAAAGAAAAAAAGAAAAGAAAAAAATTGGCTCATTTAAGGATTCTTTTAAAAATACACCGAAGAAAACTAGAGATCAGAAGGAAATACAAATCGGCAGGATGTCTATGAAAGGGCCATGGTTTTGCTTATTACCTACTGTTTGTTGTTTTGGCCATTTTAATCTTGAGAATTAGGAAAAGTCATCATGAACAGGTAGGTGCCATTTAAAAACAAGATGTATATAATGAAATTGTCAGGTTGATGAATCACACAGTACACAGAAGGGAGTTAAATGTAAGAAGACTGGGAAGGCAGAAAGGGGCTAAGTTTTAAAAGGCTTTAAAAGCCAGAGGACTTTATATTTGATCTGGCAACAGGAAGGTAATTTACTGAGTAGGGAGGTAACTGGTCAGACCTATAGGAAAATCCTCTTGGCAGCTAAATGGAGAATGGGTTGGAACAGGAAAAGATTTGTAGCAGGGAGACTAAGAGACTAACCTCACACATTACAAAAGTCTAGGCATGACTATATGAAGTGATGAAGGCCTGTACCAAGGTGGTGAGTGTGTGAGCAGAGGGAAGGGGACATGTGAAGGTCAAAACTAGACTTGACAACAAATTAGTTACCTGGAGTGAGGGCAAGGCAAGGGAAAGTCAAAGATGACAACAAAGATGGTTACTTGTTGAGAATACCGAAAGGCAGTGTGTTGCAGTGAAAATATGGAGAAACCTGCACCCAGGAGACTTGAATTCAAAGCTGCACTCTGATACTTACCAGGTTAAGCACTCTATCTCCTTAAGTCTAAGGAATTTACTTTCTAAATCTTAGAGTATTATAGAAATGTGAACTAATATGCAATGAGGCTGACATATACGTTTAACACATATACACATGTATGTAATACTATAAATGTGCATACACATACACACATGTAGTAGGTGGTTCCTAAGGTAATCAAGTGACTCTTAAGCAGCACTTACCATCCATCTTGTCAGATGTACATTGTAGGAGGAAAGAATGGAGCTTCTTGGTGCTGAGCCGGGGTGGGGATGGGTTTGCTGTCCACTAGAAGCATAGCAGCAGTTATGTTGAGCTGGAGCATAGAATCTGACCTGAGACAAATGGCCATAAGGAACACCAGAGCTGACTTCCTGAAAGCAACCACACTACACAAAGATATAGAGCTAAGCTAGAAGTGATAGGAACATACAACAAATTGAGTCAGGTTATCCAATGGTAATTTGTAATTTTTGTTCACTCATGTCTGACTCTTTGTGACCCCATTTGGGGTTTTCTTGGCAGAGATCCTAGAGTGGTTTGCCACTTCCTTCCTAGCTCATTTTATAGTGAGGAAACTGAGGCAAACAGGGCTAAGTGACCTGCCCAGGGTCACACAGCTAGTAACTGTCTGAGGCTAGATTTGAACTCTGGAAGATCAGTCTTCCTGACTCCAAGCCTGGCATTTTATCAACTGAGCACCTGTCTATACAGTGTGATAAAAATGCCGTGAATAGGATTTACGTATAAGCAGAGACTGGATTAAATTACCTCTCAAGAGGCTTCCAACTTACAGATTCTAGTACTGCTTGTAAGTGACCTTGAAAATGCTGGATCTCACACTGGCATTGTTAATTCACTCAATGACTCAGTACAATTCCAGGTACAATTAAACTAGCTGAGGAATATTGAAGAGAAATACAGAGCTAGAAGGGATCTTAGAAATCATCCATTTCAAAGTCACATACAGGTAGTAAGTGGCAGAGATCTGATTTCATATTTATAGCTTTCTGATTTAGATTGTGTTGCCTCAAAAATAGCCAACACAGCCTTACAGTAAATCTGAACTCTCTTCCCCTAAAAACTGGATTAAGACAATCCATGTTCCCCATCTGTAAAATAGGGATAATAATGACAACTATCTCACAGGGTTGTTGTGAAAATCATATGAGATAACATATGAAAAGTGCTTTGCAAAACAAAATGTTATATAAATACTAGCTCCTATGACAGTGATAATAAATATGTAATTGAAATGAATCTGCAAAATCAAAATAATTACATTGGCAATACCTACTTCATAGGGTAGATGCAGATTATCAATATAATTTAATTGAAAGAAAGAAATAATTTAGGAAATGTGTGATGAGAAAAGGAGGTGGGCCAATCAGGATGAGATGTAAGGAATAGCTAGATAACCTGAGTGCTGAGCCAGCATCTATAGAATATTGTAATTGTCTTCTCAAGCCTTGAAGCACTAGACACATACTAATTATTGTTATGATGAGAATGGTAAAAAATCAAAATGAAGTCCCTTCGTGTCTTGGGCAGATATTACTGTCCTTCTATTCCCCTTTAAACTAATCATCAAGGAAAGCCTTAACCTGAATTTAGCAAATAAAAATGGATGGAGGTCAGGAAGGAGAGCAGGATGTCCCTGCACACACAGCAGTACAAAGTCTCCAGTGATACCTTGTTTGGCTTTACCTAAAATGAACACACATTTCCTCTTTCTGATAGTGATAGAAAAGGATTCAGATTCTGGACTCTGGTCACGTCTATTTCTTCACATTCCCTGCACTTAGCACAGTGCCTGTGAACATAACAGTTGCTTAATAAATGCTTGTTAACTCATCGCAGCTACTTTAACAATCTGCTTTCTCTAAGCTACTTTCTCAAGACTCAGGATCTACCCAGAAGGGAAAATAAAGAGGAAGAAATCCATGAAGTTAACAAACTGCATCATTTTTTATTGGAAGAAATATAACAATGTTCAGAAAATATATGCCAAATATCAAACACGCCAAAATTCACTGTCAACTTAATCATCAATAGTGGTTTTTAGGTAGAAAAAAAAGGTCGTTTTACTAGTTCAGTTATGTCTGACTCTCTGCGACCCAATTTGGGGGGTTTTTCTTGGCAAAGATACTGGAGTGGTTTGCCATTTCCTTCTCCAGATCATTTTATAGATGAGGAAACTGAGGCAAACAGTGAGATTTGAACTCATGAAGTTGAGTCTTCCTGATTCCAGGCCCAATGCTCTATTCACGGCACCACCATGACATTAGTTTAATCAGATTAAATCCCCCACACTTCCTTCTCCAAACCCTCAGATTTCCCTCCACTCCTCTATAGCAATCTTCCCATCCTCTCTCAAAAGCGAGTACCACACACACACACACACACACACACACACACACACACACGTGATCCAGCCTTTACAAAACATGCTAGAATTCCAAGGGTCAGACATCATTTTGCTGAGATGCTATGAAACTTGGTACTTTGCCTCCACCAACTGGACAAGTCAATGGTACCAAATAGAACTTTGGCTAAGTGGGAGATAGCTATAATGCTCTTGGGGTGACCTCTGCTGGCCAATATATAGAAGTAAAGAAAAATAACCCTCTTCCTGAGTTGGTGGCCAAATAAAGAACCACTGGAGAAATTAAAAAACAAAGCAAAAAAATAGCCACTGAAAAAAAGGACCACTGAAGTAGACAAAGAATTTTAATTTATAAAGTCCTCCTGTTATAACAGCTTTGGAATGCAAAAATCATCCTGAATATCTTCAGAAATTTAATGTAAAATATTTTTATAGGATAAGAGAAGTCCCAGAATGTTAGCTTTACTGGGACACCTAAAAGACCCTTAACCTATTTTGTGTCATGGACACCACTGACAGTCTAGTGAAGCCCAAGGGCTTCTCTAGTGATATTTCTAAGTGCATAAAATGAAATACATAGTATTACAAAGGAAAACCATTATATTGAAATACAATTATCAAAATATTAAAATCAAACAAGTTTCTGGAACCCTGGTGAAGAACCATTGATCTTCTCAAACCCATATCCCCCCCCCTCCTCTTTCCCTCTCTTCCTCTCCTTCTTTCCTCTCTGAAACTGAGGCCCAAAAAGGTTGTGATTTTTCCAAGATCACATAGCTACTCAGAGACTATCACTCAGGTCTTCTAATTGGCAAATCTTTCAATAGGCTACTCTTCATTTGAATATTTATAGCACAGTCAGGAAAATCCAAAAGGATGCATATATTTGGTAAAAATTAAAATGTTCTTAATTTTAAAAATACTCTGGGAAAACCTTGGAAGAGATGAGCAGAGAAATAATAAGCTGCTAAATCTGATAGTTCAGGCCCTGCATTTATTTTTTCCACTGCGCCATTTTCTAATTTTTTTAAAACCCTGGAAAATGAGACACGGTAGGATAACACAGAGTATTTTCCACCATGCATGGTTATTAGGCTACACCCCCTTCTTGTTTCTCTGCAATAGTATCATGATATGCAGCATTAAAATCTTTCTTTTCTTTATATTTTAAAGAAAAGAAAAGGAACACATCCTGCCAGATAGGCTCACACATACACATAACATCAGAGTAAAATTTATTGGACTCTGACAGGTAATTCATTTGCCAATTTTGGTGATCATTCTTTGAAAATATTTCTGTTAAAATGGATTTCTTCTCATGAGCACTTTCTCAGGGACCCTTGAAATATAAGGCAAGTTGTCTGGTACAAAACCCTTACTATCACAGCAGTCTTTTTTTCTTCTTAATCTGATCTTGGGTGAAGTACAACCCACTGTATAAACAGGCAATGATGGCAATGAAGCTGATGTCTTTACTAAAGATCAAAAGTTTTAGAACGAAGAAAACCTTTTAGGAAAGAAAAGATGTCAAGTCTAGAAACCTACAAATTTTCTTTTAGAAATATTCTCCCTTTGAAACCAAAAATCTGCTCTATGTTCACTATTTTGCAAAAATCGACTTTCATACAGTTTTTTCACACAATGGTAGATGAGGTAGACTTTCTTTCCATTCAGTAAAACATTCTGTCACATGCTTAACATGTAAAAGTTTATTTCCCACTTGTGTGAATTTCTATCTGCTGCTCTCCCTGTCAACCCATCAAGCAATAGCAGATTCTAGCTTTGTATCAGTAGGTATATTTTCTTCATCCACTTGCTGTTTAGGATGCTCTGGGCCTTGTATCGTTAAAAATGTATACATCACTCCTCCTCCCATACTAAAAAGAAAGGAAAAAAAGATGAATAAATACCTGGACAAATGTAATCAGAATCAACCAAAATCCTGAAAATTTACATACATGCAATCAACTCAGTGTTTCCAGAGCTTAACAATTTGGTTTGTGGATCATTGCAGTTTTTTTTCTCTCCTCAAGTATCCTTTTGAAAATTTCACTGTATGTTTTCACCTTTAGTAGGAAAAAGATGCTATTTTAGAGCAAAGGTCATTACACCACTGTCTGAAATAGCAATGTACTTTCCCAAATCAAGTAACAGCAGCATAAGGGACAAGGCTTGGATTTGTGATTTCATTTGATATTGGATACTTCCAGATGAGGGAACTCTTTCAGCCAAGAAGAGGTCAGTACCTTCTCTCTATCTTATAGCCTTAGGAGAGTTGCTTAAGAGTCTAGAGAGGTTAAGTGGTTCATCAAAGGTGGGATATCAACCCAGGTTTTTGTAGCTCCAAGACCTATCCATTTTGCCACAGCATTCTATATTTATATGACATTTATATGCTTTGTAGCTGCAAAGCAGCTGCCTCAGTGGCATGCCCAAAGTCATGGGGTCCATATGTGGCAGAAATGAGACTTGATCCCAGAACCTGTAAGACTAAATTCAGTGTTCTTTTCATTACACCACACTGCCTCTTACCGGCAGGGTGTAAATTCAAATACCTCAATCACCCACTTAAAAAGGAGGAGGCATACACAAAAATTAGATGACTTGCACATATCATTATTTGCAAAGAGAAGAGGAGAAGGAAACTCAGACCCCAACTCCTCAGTTTCAGGTATATGCTATTCTCCAACTGATACACACATAAGGCTATAGAGAAAAGATCAGAGGAGCAGATTAGTTGAGTAATTTAAGCAAAACGATTGTACAGTAATCTGAAGAAAGCAAAGATTTAGCCAAATTATGAAGACAAATTAAGTGTTATATAAACTAGTTCAGGGTCAACAACTATAATGAGCACTCACAAACCTAACTTACATGTGCCCAGTTTGTGTACTTCCCTTCAGCCAGCCAAGTGGCCCAGTAGCCAAAGAAACTCCCTCTTCCCATCTCTGCCATTGCTTGAGTTTTCCTCCTCTCTTAGCCTTTCCAACTTAGTATCACTTTCTAGAATGCTATCCCAACATTTTCCCAGTCCTGCTTCTCACTTTGTCCAGGAGATGCAGCTCAAGATCTGAAGCTGACTGGACGGGAAGCTCCAAGCAAAGCAACTGAGGATGCTCCTCTATGCCCTGTCCTACCCCATCCGAGAGCTCACTCAGCAGGTTCCTCAGTTCTTGATGTAACTCCTTACCCCTTTTCTTTGTGACCCCATTTGGGGTTTTCTTGGCAAACATACTGGCTTGCCATTTCCTTCTCCAACTCATTTTATAGCTGAGGAAACTGAGACAAATTAAGTTAAGTGAATTTCCCAGGGTCACATAGCTAGTAAGTGTCTGAAGCCAGAGCTGAACTCGAGAAAATGAACCTTCCTGACTCCAGGCCTGGCACTCTATCCACTGTACCACCTGGCTGCCCACTACTCCTCACCCCTACCCTCAGGCCCTTTCCTGATTTTTACCTCAGAGTCTTTATTCATCCCACTACTTCAATTCCCATCCCTGTCTTAGAGTTACCAACAGTGGACTGGAGCTAGGAGAGCTTCTGACTCCACTACCTAACAATCTAGGAGGGAGATAAAGAGAACATTTCCCTCTCCTTCACATGCAGGATGTATCCCTTGCACAATGAGTTGTAACTCTGTATGTATTTCCCCACAGACACACTGTTACACTTGGTGGTGAGGTTCTATAGCATCAACATATAATAAAGTACCATAAAATAATGTAACTACTAGTTACATTATTGGTTAAATAGTGTTTTGTGGGATAGCCTGGGAACTAATCCCCTGATACTAAAAGGGAAGAAATAATTGTTCAAATTTCCAAACAACCATCTTATATACAAATCTTTATTTGTACACGTTTTATAACTACCAGTAGAATGTAAACCAACTGAGGGCAAGAATTGTCTTGCTTTTAGTATTGCTATCCTCAGTGCCTAGCATTGTGCCTATAATAAGTATAACTTGGCAAAAGCTTTTTCATTCAATCATTCACTCATACCTCATTCATGAGTATCATATTTCTACTTATCTCTGCTAGTCATTTCTTCTGCTGTACTCATATATGTCTACTTAATATTATACTCACCAAATATTTAGTCCTATAAAGTTTAACACAGAGAAAATGTAGTCTCTACCAAATAATATTCCAATGTAAGCAATGGATATATTCTGAAAGCAAGATAGAGGATTGGTGTATATTAATAATGGAAACACCCACTTGCTAGGAAACAATGAATTTAAGAAAAGGCAAAATTCATTTCTGGTGAATCCTGAAATTGAAAATACTTTGGTTATCTTTATCACTTATGGTTTAATTACATTAAAAAAACATATATTAAGCATGCAAGGCACTAGACTAGGCAGCGGGAATAAAAGACAAAACAAAAAATAATGCCTGTCCTCAAGTAGCTTACATTATATTGGCAAATCAAGGAAGGAAAAAACTAAGCATTTTATTACCAACTGGAAGAGAAATTAGTTGATAACGCTGAAATATTATTGAGGTGGGGGCTGAGAGGACTAAAGGATCTCACAGATGATGGCTTAAATCTTCTCAGTGAAGGAAAATGCAACATTATCTGTTGAAAGTATAGGGAATGCTACTAGACATGTAACCCAAAGAAAACAAAGAGGGAAAAGACTCATGTATATAAATATGTTATTTATATGATATATAATATGTATTTAAATATATATTACATATAAGATATATGTATTTAAAACACACACACATACATATATCAGCTCTTGTGGTGGTGGCAAGCAATTGGAAACTCAGGGGGTAGTCATCAATTGAGGAATGGCTGAACGAGTTACAGTATATGTATGTGATAGAATACTGTTATGCTATAAGAAATGACAAAGGATAAATGATAAGTGAGGATCCTGGGAAGACTTGTATGAATTGATGAAGAGTGAGGTAAGCAGAAACAAGAGACTAACACTTCACACCTTGTATGAAGATAAGCTCCAAATGGATATGTGATCTACATATAAAAGGTCACAGCACAGACAAATTAAAGCAATATGGTGGTGGTGGGGGGGAATTACCAATCAGATCATGGATAGAAGAAAAGTTTATGATCAAAGAAAAGATAGAGAGGATCACAGAAGATGAAATGGGTAGTTTTAATTATATAAAATTTAAAGTTTTTGTACAAATAAATCCAATAAAGCTTAGATTAAAATGGAAATAAACAATTGGGAAAATCTTTTCAACAAATTACTCTTATTAAGGTCTCATTTGTGAGATACATAAAGAACTGATTATGTATATATATATATATATATCTAAAGATATACATAAAGAACTAATTCAAATTTATAAGAATAAGAGCCATTCCTCAATGAATAAATGGTCTAAGAATATAAACAAGCAGTTCTCAAGGAAAGAAAACCAGGTTATCTATAACCATATGGAAAAAATCTCCATATAACTACTAGAGAATTTTGAGATTCTATCTCATAAGCATCAGATTTGCAAAAATGCAAAAAAAAAAGCGGGGGGGAATGATAAATGTTGGAAGGGCTATGAAAAAACAGGAACATTGATGTACTGTTGGTGGACCTATGAATGGATACAACCATTCTAGAAAGCAATTTGTAATTATATACAAAAAAGTTACTAACAGCACATACCCTTTGACCCAGATATACCACACTAGGCTTATACACAAAGAAATAAGTAAAAAGTCCTCTATTTAAAAAAATATTTAGAGCAGCAATTTTTGTGGTGACAAAAATCTAGAAAATAAGGGGATATCCAATAATTGAGGAATGGCCAAATAAATTGTGGCATATGAATGTGATGGAGTACTACTCTGTTGTAAGAATTAAGGAAGTAGGTGATTTCAAAGATACATGGAAAGATTTAGATGAGCTGATACAGAAAGAAGTGGAACCAGAATAACAATTTATCCTATAACAAATATTATAAAATATTTTAAAATCATAAAAAGAATGTTGTAAAGCTTTTAGTAAACTGATGAAGAATTAAATGAGCAGAATCAGAACAGTTTGTATAACAACACTGTAAAGACAAACAAGTTTGAAAGCTGTAAGAAGCATGATCAATATGATGGCCATCCGTGATTCCAGAGGATCAATGATGAAACATCATTCATCTCCTGACAAGGAAGTGATAGATTTAGAATGTAGAATGAGATATACAGATAAAGATACAGACACAGATAGAAATACAAATACAGGTGTAGAAACAGACATATATATATATATATATATATATATATATATATATATTGAAAATACAGCCAATGTAGAAATTTGTTTTGCTTCAACTAGGCATATTTGTAAACAGAATTTATTTTTCTTTTTTTTTCAGCATGGTAGAGGATGTAAGGGAGAGAAAATAGGTTGCTGTTATTTTTAAAAAAATTTAAATTAGAGAGGTTGTAGAATGCTACAGATGTGGAATGGTGCATCCCCCTTCAGATGAGATCCCTGTATTTGGTAGGACCACTGTATCGCTAGTGGTTGGATCACTGTATCACTAGTTTTGCTTAACTGTTTTTCTTTGTTACAAGAGAGCTCTCACAGAGTGTGGATAATTTGGAAATGTTTGTAATGTGAAAACAAAAGCAATAAAACATTTTAAATGAGGAACAAGGGAGATATTAAAGAGTTTTCCTAGAGCCTCACAAAAAAAAAAGGTATGAAGTTTTTTAATCAGCTTGAGAGGCTTAAGGAGCTTTGACCTTGGGATAAAAGCAAATGATACCAGCCAAGAAACATCTAGTTAAAGTGTGAAAAATCAGACCCTACTTCTTAGGTTTGTTTTTTTTTAAGGAAACCTGCAGGATCACTAGGTTCCACAAGAAGCACACATGCATGTGCACATGTTCACATACACACACATGCTTACACACACAAACGCACACATGCATGCACACAAACAGTAATCTCAGATGGCTTGTTTTCATTTGTTTGATTTTTCTTATAAGCCCTAGTGGCACAGCTCAGTTGATTCTCTCATTCAATCACTAGATTTCCTGTGAGGTATCAGTTAACCTTCATTCCAATAAACACTTACTTCCCTGTGATCTTCTCAAGCTGATTAAGGAACTTGTTCACATTTTGTTTGGGAGATTATAGGAAAATTGCTCAACACCTCCTTTATCAACATACATTAGCAATTCTCTTCCCTATCCCATTCTCCATCCCATTCTACCCTTCTTTGTGAGGATCAACCTAGCCCAGTTGTGTTAAGCTTAAGAAGTAAGACTGTATCACCCAACTCAAATGGATAAAGCCAAAACTTTATTAGCCCACTACAACAATTTTTAGAAACAGTACTTTTAATTTCAGTCTCTAGCTTAAAATTCCTAGGGTCACCATCAAACATGCTAACCTATTTAATTCTTTATTCCAAGATTTCTCTTTAGTATTTCCACTTACCTTCACAGCACCCACCACTGTAGTTGTTAGTGCAGAATTGTAATAGCTACAGAGCACCGTGGAATACATCAACAGAAACCTGAAGCAAGAAAAAGTAAGTTTATGCCTTGTGCTCAATGACAAGAATATATTCAGCAATGACTGACCTCTTTATTAATGCTTTGGAGTAAAGAAGCACGTTATGAGATGTTTAAGATACATTTCTAAAAATAGCCTGTTAATTCTGAATTATTCAGGGATAATTAGCCTGTTGTGGATTATCCATACCCTCTCTCTTTTGAAAATTTTTCCTATGTTCTGAACATACATTTTCCATTGGCCCCTCTACTGGCAGTAGGAAAGGGATTTTTTAAAAGAGATGAACCTAAAAATCACTCAGAGCAGATTGAGAGGGCAGTGATTTTGTTCCCTGAAAAAGTGAGTCCTTTTGTTTATTGGGGATGCAGAGAAAGTGGGGAAGACTAAGCTAAAAATTAGTGGCTAAGATGGGATCTTTATATTATTGCTGGATTTATTTTGTCTACAACAGTCTCGTGGCCTATTACTACAGATAATACAGAATTGGCTACATTTTCATTATCCTATAAAACATTGTGCTTCAGGGTACCATCCCTGCTGGCCATACTCCTGAAATAAAACAAAGATATCAACCTATACTCCAGACTGACCCATGAAATAGAACTACAATTCCAGATCTCATTGACCCATAGTTGGAATGTATGAGGCACTTGTTTGGAGCTAGGACACAGAGAGATGAGAAGAATACATCATCATGATGCACTGGAAAATGTCTAGTTGTCAGTCCTAGCAAGAGAAATGTTTTTGGACAAATAGATCTAGGATAGGAAGCTTTAAAAAACACAATGTCCTATCAAGAACAAAACCAGGTTCTTCCAGACATTCTTAGAAGGGGTAAATATATTCCCATAACAAATAAATTATTTAGGTAGTAAGTGATTGGGCTAAGATTTCAGGGCAGATCTTTTGATTCCAAAGCCACTGCTGTTTCCAGAAAACAAAAACATGAAAGAACATATTATACATTGACAAGAAGTATCATAGTGCAACCTATGCCCTCATAAATCTATTTTAACTAGATTTAAGGAAACCTGCAGGATCAGTAGATTCCACAAGAAGCACACATACATGTGCACATGTTCACATACACACACATGCTTATACACACAAACACACACACACATGCACGCAAACAGTAATCTCAGATGGCTTGTTTTCATTAGTTTGATTGATTTTTCTTATAAGCCCTAGTGGCACAACTCAATTGATTATCTCATTCGATCACTAGATTTCCTGCGAGGAAATTTTTCCCCTGGGCCTAAAGTGATGATGATACAGATATAAAGACGCTCCTGGCACTGCAGGTCTGATGATTGCTCTTCCCTCTGTCTCATGTCAGAGAGAGGGACCACATCAAGGACAGGCGGGAAGCCAGGTGACAGGATAGATGGGGCACAATCTAAACACTTGCATCTGAGTTTGTCTGCCTTTCACTTCTTCCACTGTCCTTGTGTTTCTCTGACTTATTAATCACCAGGTAGGGTAAAGGGAAGGGGCAGCCACTATTGTGGTCTGAGAATTCTGGGTTTTCATTAGGTGACAGGGGCAGTAGGAGACCTGAAATTTAGAGGCAATCTAGGTCAATTCTGAGCTCTTACATTGGCACCTACTGTGACTCCCATCAGCCTGTGAATAGGAGGGAAAGATTGCTTCTCTTACTATTTTTCCTCTGGTTTCCCCTGGTTTAGCTCCTCATCTAGAATTGGAGTCCCAGATGCTACCTACACCTTTCCATGATCCCTGGGCATGTGTGGTACATAAATTTCCATGGCCACCCCTGAAGAACTGGAAGGGGAAAATGAGGAAAAAGTATGGGGCAGGAGGGTTGATGGCTCCACATAGGCACATTTAACTTTTTCATTCCATGTTCTCTATGCTCAATAAATTATTTGATCATAAATATGTTGAATATCTGAGTCCCATGAATGGGAGAAAGGGTATAGCCAGAAAGGAGAAAGTAGGGCAGGGAATTCTAGATCTACGGATATCATATTTTTGGCACTTTGGATAATAATGCTTTTCATCTTTAGATATCTCTGAGCCTGGCTAGTACAACAAATTGAAGCAAAGGGCTCTCTGATGATGGGGAAACAGCCTAGATATTTATAAGCAGAAAATACTTTGGTGGCCAATTGCAGACTTTATAAAGATTATCTTATGTATGCATCAGAGAGAAAGTGAGGTGGCTAGTGGACTAGTGGCTCAGGGAGAGGACTACCTTGTAAGCAACTCACATTCTCTGACTGGCTAATTAAAGCAGTGATACACTATCATTCTGTAGACTTAAAAGCAGCCTATGAGTCCATTTGAACTGCTTAGACCACAGACTGCCACAAGGACCACAGGTATTGCATACAGTGTACAAAGGAGGGAGGAGAAAAAGGGGGATTTTACTTAACTGAGAAGAAAAAAAACAAAAGAAGAATTAGATAACTAAAAGGAAGAAAGACTAAATCACTAATAAATTAAAACTAGAAAAAGAGGTGACAAATGGGAAGTAAGGTATGAGAGTAGGGGGAAGAGAATCTATGAAAATAATGTTATCAAAGTATGTTAAGCAAACATGACTGATGGTATATAATATAGTCTTTAAAGACAAAAAGGAACCAAAAAAAATCCCAATTTTAAAAAAAACACTGAAGGAAAATAGAAATTTAACTCTCATAACTTTAAATGTGAATGGATTAATCAGTCCAACAAACTGAAAAAGTGTGATAGATTAAATGAGACAATCATTACAGTAGGATCATGAGCTGAAAAGGGCATTAGAGAGCATCATTAAGATCTCTACTGAAAGTTTCTAGTATATATATTCTTGGAAGACTGTGCTGACTGAATCTCCATTAACTGTCCTAACAGCAACAATATCTTGTTCACAGTAGAATGTAAGCTCCTTAAAACAGAGATCTTTTTTTGATTTTTATTTATATCATCAGCACTTAGAACAGTGCTTGACACATAGTAAGTGCTGAATAAATGCTTATTGGTTGATTCACTAAATGAAAGAGCACTGAATAAGGTGTCAGGAAACCTTATCTCTGTCACTAACAAGTTATAAGACCTTTGGGGTAATCACTTTACCTCTGTGGGCCTCAGTTTCCTCATCTACATTTTAAAAGATTTGGGCTAGATAATCTCTAAGATTCCCTCCAATTCAAAATTGTATACTTTTAAATGAAGGAACAGAAGATTAAGTGATTTATCCAAGGTTATATTGAAAGCCCTAAGTAATCAAGAACAGAAGTTGGGTGTCATCTCCTACAATCTATGGCTCTACCAGATCATACGGTGGCATGTGTTGAGACTCAATAGACAAACCAAATACTAAAATTCTATTCTTTTAATCTCTCTCGCAACCACAATCAAATTCATTTTTTTCTACACATCTAAATTTCAGAAATTCTCCTGGTCTTCACAAGCTAAAATTTCTACTAAATGTTTTCTCTTAAGACTATTCATAAAGATAGAAATTATCGGCGGTGTTTGCTTATTCCTCACACCTACCCCACCCTGACAATGAATTTTCCTGAATGGCCTTGTATTCTCCTTTGTTTAAAGTAAAGGACTACAATAATACCATGTGAAGTCCTCTTTGGCTTCTTACCCCAGCAAACAGGAAAGAAGAAACTGCGTGATAAATAAAATGTTCCTCCAGTGGCTGAACTCAGTAGCCTAATGTTTAGAAAGGAGATAAAAGTGATGATTAGATGAATAAGATGCCATATAGTCACATGGATTATATTAAAAAGGGGCAGCTATCATAAGAAACTTATACAATGTAATTATAAAATAATCTAAAATACATAGATGCATATATTCAGAATATTGGACATATAATAGAGCCTTAATTTTTACTCCACTTCCACTGGGAAATTGTAAGCAATGAATAACTGATGACAAAAACTGATAGGAAAAACTGGAAAGTAGTCTGTCAGAAGTTAGGCTTACATTATATGCCACAATAAGCCCCACATGACCTACACATAAAAGGTCCTGTTATTTCAAAAATTTGAGGAAAAGGGAAGCAGATATTTTTCACAAGTAGAGCTGGGGCTTTTTGTGGTGGTGGCAAAGACATGGAAAATGAGGGGATGCCCATCAATTGAGGAATGGCTGAACAAGTTGTGGTATATGATTATGATGGTATGCTACTATGCTATAAAAAATGGTGAGCAGGCAGGATTTCAGAAAAACCTGCTAAGACTTATGTGAACTGGTGCTGAGTGAAGTGAGCAGAACCAGGAGAATATTGTACACAGTAACAGCAACATTGTGCAATGAACAGCTACGATAGACTTAGCTCTTCTCAGCACAACAATGATCCAAGACAATTCCAAAAGACTCATGATGTAAATACTATCCACATCCAGAGAGAGAACTATGGAGTCTGAATGCAGACTGAAGCATATTATTTCCACTAGGGTTTTTGTTGTTGTTGTTTTTCCCTTTTGCTCTGTTTCTTCTCTCACAACATGACTAACGTGGAAATATGTTTAACATGATCGTACATATATAATCTATATCACACTGTTTGCCATCTTGGGGAGGGGGAAGGAAAGGAAGGAAGGATAAAAATCTGTAACTCAAACACTTATAAAAATGAATGTTGAAAACCATCTTTACATGTAATTGGAAAAAATAAGACTAAGAAAAATAAAATAAAAGGAATAGCAAGTTGTTCATAAAAAAAACAAATGATAGCTGGGGGCAGGGCTAACTTTGAACTTAAAAAAGATAATCATAAAAGACAAAAGTGGATTACTTCTATATAAACAAAATAAATGCAGTTGGACTGGAAGGAAATAATTAATTGGGAACAACATTCACAGCAAATTTCTCTGATAAAGGTCTAATACTCAAGATTTATAAACAATTGATATGAATATGTAAAAACAAAAGCCATTCTCCTATATGTAAGTGGTCAAAGGATATTAATGGGCAATTTTCAGATGAAGAAATAGAAACTATTAACAAGGAAACAAAAGAACATTTCAAATAACTAATAAGGAAATGCAAATTAAAATTGCTCTTAAGTTCTACCTCATACCCATCAGATTGTCAAAGATGACAAAAGAGGAAAATAAAAATTGATAGAGGGCTTAAGGGATGACAGGCACACAAATGCACTGTTGGTATAGTTGTGAATTGGTTCCATTCTGCAGAATGAAACTATTCTCCAAAACAAATTAGAACTATACCTATAGCATTACTAAATTGTACATACTTTTTGACCCCAGGATAGTACCATTAGGTATATGCCCCTAGAAGGTCAGGGACAGAAAAGAAGGATCCACATGTATAAAATATTTATAGCAACACTATTTATTGTAGAAGAGAACTGGAAACAAAATAGGTGCTTATCAAATGTGAAATGACTGAACAAATTGTAGTATATGAATGGATGGAATTTTATTATATCTTAAGAAATTATGAACATGACATATTTATATAAATGTAGAAAGACTTGTATGAGCTGATCTAGAGTAAAATTATCAGAAGCAAGACAATTATGAAATACCCAATTCTAATTTTTAAAGGAATTATTTTCTTCAGTGATCTTTTGTACTTCTTTTTCTACTTGGTCTCTTCAGTGGATTTTTGTGCCTCTATTACCATTTGGGTTATTCTTTGTTTAAGGGATTACTTTCTTCAGTACTTTTTGTGCCTCCTCTTTACTAAGCTGTTGACTCTTTTTCCATGATTTTCTTGCATCACTCATTTCTTTTCCCAATTTTTTCTTTACCTCTCTTATTTTATTTTTAAAACCTTTTTTGAACTCTTCCAGGAATTCCTTTTCAGCCTGAGACCCATTCACATTTTCCTTTGAGGCTTTGAATGAAGCTGTTTTGACTCAGCTGTCTTCTGAGTTTATTTTGATCTTACCTTTTACCATAGTAATTTTCTGTGGTCAGGATCTTTTGTTGTTTTGTTTGCTCATTTTTCCAGCCTATTTCTTGACTTTTAAGTTTATTTTAAAGTTGAGCTCTGTTACTGGGTGGAGGGAGCACTATCCTAAGATTCAGGTTTTTTTGTGCTGCTGCTTTCAGAGCTAGTTCTGGGGGGTTGTAAGTTTTTAGTTTTTTCAAGGTAATCTAAGGAGAGGTGTGGTCACTGCTCTCCTGACCTGTGTTCTGGTCTGTGAGCAACCACAAGTGCTCTTTTCCACCCTGGAACTGTGAGCAGGGTCCCCACTCCCCTGTGGCTATACATTCTAGTGAGCTAGTGCTCTTACTCACTCTGGGACTAGGACCCAGATCTCTAACAGGCAATGCAACAGAGTCCTACACCCAGTGCCTGCAAAGGGTCCCTAGTAATCTCTTTCTGACCAGTAGTCCAACCCCTTTACCATCTCTGGGCTAAGAGCTCCTGAAACTGCAGCTGACAATTCAGCCACCCCCATAGCCAGCTATTGGCTTGCTGGGGCGAGGCCTATCCTGAACTACACTCCATTCTCACTCCCGTGAGACACACGTTTCCTGCTGAGCTTCTAAGTTATCTTGGGCTGGAAAATTGTCTCACCCCACTCTTTTGGTTCTTCTGCTTCAGAATTTATTTTGAGGCATTATTTTAAAGTTGTTTGGAGGGGAATTTGAGAGTGTTCAGGTGAATCCCTACCTTCACTCCACCTGAAGTTAAATTTTAAAGTATGTTATACATACATCCCTATCCCATACCTAGCTTGTTATTAAACATTTACCAGCATACCCTGTTTATAAATTATACCAGCCAACTTTTTTGAAAGAGTTGGCTACACTTTCTCCCCCCTCAAATCTCTTCTTAAATCCTCTTCAATCTGCCTTCTGAACTCATCATTCAACTGACACTGATCTCTCCAAATTTCTCCTAATTGTCCAATCTAAAGACCTTCTATTAACTGAAGTATTTCTTGACTTGTCTTTGTCATTTGAGCCTGTCTTTTAAATTTATTTTATTCTTAACTTATAGAATAACACAAGCATTTCCATAACACGGTATAATAAAAAAAAACATAACTGAGCATGAAACTGCAAATCTAATATATACAACTTGCTATTTCTTTTAAACACACAACCAAGTTATCATGTAATTCTTTTCCTTCCCCCCATCCCCCCCACCAGAGATGGCCACCATTACACACAAATAGGTGTGTGTGAGTGTGTGTTTGTATGTGTGTGTGTGTATGTACATATATGTGTTTACGTATGTATGTGTGTGTATGTGCATGTGTGTGTGTGTGTGTAAAATTATTCTATGTATACTTTTATTTATCAGTTCTTTCTCTGGATGGAGATAGCATCTTTATTCATATGTCCTTTATAGTTTATTTGGGTATTTATAATAGGCAAAACAATTTATTCATTCAAAGTCCTTCTTAAAACAATATCATTTCTACCATATACAATATTCTCTTGATTCTGCCTATTTTGCTCTTCATTATTTCATGCAAATCTTTCCATGTTTTTCTTTATTATAGGTCACCACAGCATGGTGGCAGGTCAGAAATTAGATGGAGTGAAAGAGCATAGTTGGGTCTGGGGCAAGTGAGATATACTGAGGACTTACCAAGCATCTAGGTGGCACAGTGGATAGAAAGCTGGGATTGGAGTCTGGAAGACCCAAATTCATATTCAGCCTCAGACATTTACTAGCTGTGTGACCCTGGGCAATTCATTTGGCCTGTTTGCCTCAGTTTCCTCAACTGTAAAGTGGAGATAATTGCATATACCTTCCAGGGGTGTTGTGAGGAGCAAATTGGATAATATTTGTAAAGCCCTCAGTACATCCCTTGGCACATAGTAGCTATATAAATGCTCAATCCCTACCTCAATCCCCTCCAATCAGTACATCCCATCTCATGGTCCCTAAGCTCCTACAGGGAATGGCCTCTGGAAGGCCAATCAGAAAGTGTAGCTGCAGTGGCAAAAAAAATCAAAAAATAGCTGATGCCCTTGGGTTTATCATTCCCTATGCTTTGAGTTTTCCAATCATTTCTGGGTCTTGTGAAATTTATTCGGTTTATTAATCAACTTTTCTACTTTTTAAAATAATACCAAAATGTTTTAGTACCACTTTGTAGTTTAGTTGGAGATGTGGCACTGCTGGGCCCTCTTCCTTCTCAATTTTGTTGATGATTTCCCTTAAGCTTCTTGACCTTTTATTCTTCCAAATGAATTTTTTTTTTAATACTTCACCTAGTTCTATAAAGTAAAACTTTGGCAGTTTGACTGTTAAGGCAATGAATAAATAAATTTAGGTAATGTCATCACTTTTATTTTACCAGCATAACCTAATTTTGAGTAATCAATAACTCTCCAATTATTTATGCCTTGTTTAAGTGTTCTGTAGTTGTATTCATATAATTCCTTACAGCCATCTGTAAAGTAAAGGAATTGAACTCAGTGGCCTTTAAGGTCTATTCCAGAACTAAATCTATGATACTATAATAATTTCTGGGCATATCTTGGTAGGTGGATTCCCAGATGTTTTATATATTCTGTAGTTATTCTGAGGGGAATTTTCTGTTCTACATATTCGTACTCAGATTTGCTGGCAATATATATAGAAAGACCGATGATTTTGTGGGTTTATTTCATATACTGCTACTTAAATGAAATTATTAATTGTGCAAATTATTTAGTTGAATCTTTAAGGTTTTCTAAGTAAATCATCATAATTTCTACAAATAACACTAACTTTGATTCTTCTTTTTTCAATACTTATTTCTGTCTCAGTCAACAAGCATTTTAAAGCACTTATGTGTCAGGCACTATGCTAAGTGTTGTGAATACAAAGAAAAGACAAAACTACAGTCCCTGCACTCAAAGGAGCTCACATTCAAATGGAGGAAACAAAGTGCAAAGAATTGTATGTACGAGATATATACAATGTAAATGAAAGAGATGATACCAGAGAAGACACAAGAAAGGCTTCCTGCAGAAAGTGCCGTTTGAGCTGTTCTGAAGGAAGCTAGGAAAACCTGGAGGCAGACATAAGGAAGGAGCTACCGTGTGTAAAGAATTTTATAAATGTCCAAGTGTTGTATAAAGGTGAATCTTCGTTGTTGTAATTGTTACTACTGTTATTATTATTCTTCAAAAAGGAGAGAAGCAGTTTGGTATAGCAGACAGAGTGTGGGATTTGGAGTCAGAAATACCTGGGTTCAAATATCACCTCTGGCATGTGACAGTTGTGTGACTGTGGACAATTCATCTCACCTCTCAGGTAACTCACCATTATTAAATTATAAACAGGTTGTGATCTGTGTTAGTGGAAGAAATTCTCACACACAAGAAATCATGAATCCTTGATGGATCAATGTATTTAAAAAGGAATAAGAGGAGAGTATAATGTATGGCTAGCGACAGATGTTTCAAAGAAATAATTCAAATAGTAGCAAATAATCACTATCAATTAAACACTTAGATTATTTAGACATGTGTATCTTTTATTTGTACATGATACTAATAAAGTCTGCTAATTTAACAATATTTAAGTGAATATCACAAAATTAAATATTCAAAAATAAAGTTGCTTAGCTGAGCTAAACTTATTTGTTCCAAGTGATGCTATAATTTGTAATCAGTAACAGTCTGCTTACCTGTTGAAGGTCTCCAGTGGAAATACTAATAACAAATGTTGGAATGATCATAAAACAGGCATTGTAGAAAAGCACTCCATATTTTCCTAGCTCCTATGAACAAGGAAAAACACCTGTTCAATTCTAGAAGCACCCTACTACAAGACTTGACAGACATTGTTTACAAGTTATTTATTCAAAGATTATAATGCACATCCACTTCATAATAACTGTTTTCCTTCTATAATTTAAAGACCTGACATTTCTATCATAACATGACTGATTTTCAAGCATATTGTAATTTCAAAATATCAAAATAAACATCCTTTTAAATATAATTTCAAAATAAATATCTACTTCAAGATGTCACAGGAAAAGATTGTTAGAGTAATGAGGGAGACAAAAAAAAAGACCCCTTGTTTAGTTAAGAGAAGGCAGCTGTGATGATTTGGAGGAGTTTAGATTAGTGAAGAATGTGAGAGATTGAATTTGGGAGGTATAACTTGGGAGAAAATGGGAAAAATTTAGAGAACAATCCCCAGGTTCAGATACTGGTCCAGATTCTATTTTAGTGTTCTGTGAAAGGGTGAAAGAAAAAGAGCAAGCAGAAGGACTAAGGATTAAGAACCTGAAAAGGAAGACTCAGAAAGGAGAAGGCAGTTGACAAGGCAAGGCAAATAAGAAGAGATTAGTGGAACATTTAGAAGGTTAGGCATGTTGATAGAGTCAGTTGGAGAGTGGGGCCAGTTAAAGCCAAGGAGATTAGTGCAAAGCAAAATAGAAGGGTGGTGGTGGCCATAGAGTTGTTGCAACCAAATAAAGGAAATTGAGTGAATTGTCAAGTTATTAAGAGGTGATATCTGGTTGTTAAATAATAACAATAATAATGATAATGATAAGCAAGTGCTTAAGGTGTAAACATCCAGAAATATTTTTTAAAGGCTGAAAATCTCAACAAGTATGAAGAGTAGGAGATATAATGTAATAGCTTCCATTTGATTTTGTGATGTTTATATTTCTACCATAGCCAGGGGCATATTATCTGTATTCTGCAGATTGATCTCCTTCCTGGAGGAGAGGAGGGAAAACACTGAAGGAATGCCTCTCCACAGTCAACACTTCAGATCATTATTGACAATGAGACATTTTTAAAGGGAAGAGAAGCAAGTCTTCAATGGGGAGGGGGGGAATGTGAATCTGAGGAAGAGGAAAGATGAGTAATTAAGAGTTGGGAGAGTAAAAGATCTTGCATTTACACAGAGAAGAAAGGATGGGGAAAGGACAGCTATACAATGAGAACTCAAAAACAGATTTGAGGCTCTTCTTGAAGAAGAGGGGATAGGATATCTCCTCAGAGAGAAGAAAGCAACTGCTGCTTCCCCAAAGTATGATATAGTAACACCACAGAACCTATCACCTGACAACAGAAATAGAAATGTTTATTTTCTTCTCAGAGCATATATCTTAGACCTAACAGACAATCTCCCAACACTTGTCATCTGTTTAGATAAATGCTCATTTCTGTCAATTAACACGGACAAGAATGATTCTGCAAGCTAGATGGAACTTTTTCTAGAAAGCATTTTTTAAATTTATTTTTAGGCAATTGTGGTTAAGTGACTTGCCCAGGGTCACACAGCTAGTAAGTGTCAAGTGTTTCGTCTGAGGTCAGATTTGAACTCAGGTCCTCCTGACTTCAGGACCAGGGTGCTCTATCCACTGCACCACCTAGCCACCCCTCTAGAATGTATTGCTAGAGAATACAAAATCTTGGGGGAGAGTGAAGACCATCAAGGTTCAGGTTCCATTTACTTTTTTTTTTTCCTTTCTGGTGAGGCAATAGGTTGAGTGACTGCCCAGGGTCGCACAGCTAGTAAGTGTCAAGTGTCTGAGGCCAGATTTGAACTCTGGTCCTCCTGACTCCAAGGCTGGAGCTCTATTCACTGTGCCACCTAGCTGCTCCTCCATTTACTTTCTATCAAGAACAGAATACCTAAGAATTTATTGACTCACAATAATGATAATTCCTTCATTGAAAAGTTGGGGGAGCCAACAAGGGGAAGTTGAGTCTAGATATGATTTCTTACTGACATGAAGAAAAATCATTGAGAAAATGGATGGAAAATGAGGGATACTTTGGGGAGAAATGACCACTCCTTCCTTCAGTTCAAAATAAAGGAAAGAAAATTAAGGCACTATCTGACATGCATTGTCGATTTTGGGAAAGCAGATTTCAAGCGTTCCCAAGGAAGAATAAATAGGCTTACACGCTAAAATTCTAAAGGGGAAGTAAGACTGAGAGAATAAAAGAATCTTAAGAATGAAATTACTGGGGCATCTAGGTAGCACAGTGGATACAGCACTGGCCCTAGAGTCAGGAGGACCTGAGTTCAAACCCAGTCTCAGACCAGACATTTGACACTTAATAGCCATGTGACCCTATGCACGTAACTTAACCCCAATTGCCTCCCCCCTCCAAAAAAAAATGAATGAAATTATGAAGACAAAAAGAAATAGTTCCAATAAGGGAAAATGGAATCTTCTGACAAAAAAAATAAATGTAGAAGCACAGGGAACTAACTAACCAGTTTAAAATTTTAAAAAGAAATGTACAGAAGATAGAAGAAAGGCCAGGTGAATGTATATGATAACATGGCACAGAAGTGTAAAAATAATATCAGGAATGCTAAAGCTTAATAAGAGATGAGCTGTGGGGGGCAGCTAGGTGGTGCAGTGGATAGAGCACCAGCCCTGAAGTCAGAACAACCTGAGTTCAAATACAGCCTCAGACCAAACACATGACACTTACTCGCTGTGTGACCCTGGGCAAGTCACTTAACCCCAATTGTCTAAAAAAAAAAATAAAAATAAAAAAAGAGATGAGGTGTGTAAGGGAAGCTAAAGGCAACAAAAATGTTTGGGTTTTTTTTTTAAGTTATGTCTTCGAGGTACTCCCCCAAACTTTCACTCAAACTGGATTCCCAGATGGGTGACCACCACCTCAGATTCTAGGGGTAACCCTGTAGATTTCTTCTACTACAATTGTAGCTCTCAAACCTCCACCAACATGCTGCGCATCAACAATCAGCCAGTAGTTTCAATTTTACTTATCAAAAGTATTTACTCAAATGACATAGCATAACAATTTGGCTCAAAACGCCCCACCAAAAATCCTGGGGATACCAATACATAGTCTGTGGTGGTGAGACTAGTTACAAATGAAGTAAAATAAGTAGTGAGGCACACATGTGGGGAAAACATGTGGCCAATGCAACTCATAACTCTGAAACTGCAGTCCCTTAATGTCTTTTCTATCTCTAAGTAGTCCTCACAAAATTCACCGTGATATGGGGCATCGGTAATGAACAGGTCACACTGCTGTTAAGACCTACCTACTAGGGTTGTTTTGAGGATCAAATGAAATAATATTTGTAAAATACTTAGCACTGTATCTAACACAATAGAAGGAGCGACATAAATGCTTATTCCCTTCCCCTTTCCTTACCCTCTGCTAGATTGTAAACTATTGGCCAGTAAGCTTGACTTTAATACCTAGAAAAATTGTAGGACAGTTTCATAACTTTCTGGGCACAGTTTCAAATTGTTTAGAATTCTAGATACTATACTATATGACATGACGAGCAGGTTGATTTTAGATAAACGTGGAAAGACTTGCATGAAATAATGAAGAATGAAATTATCAGAACTGAATGTTGTATATATTAACAGCAATATTGTTTGAAGAATAGCTGTGAATGACTAAATTATTCTGAGTATTATAAATACTCACATCAACTACAAAGGACCTATGAAGGAAGATTTATACACTTCCAGAGAAAGAAGTGATAAATAGAAGTATACACAGCATGGGTTACAGATGGATAGATATAGAGATATATCTATATGTATGTTGACATAGATATAGATATATTGGTGTCAAATGGTGGCCTTCTCTAGTTTGGGTTGGGAGGGAGGGAAGGAGATAGTTCAGAACTTAAAATGTAACAAAAAATAACATTAAATTTTAAAAAGAATTATTAGACTTCATAAAAACAATGTTTTTAAAATCCTGTACAATATATTTTAATAAATCTTCAACAAAAAAAACCTAACTATCTTCTGGAGTAGATGGAACAACTCACGGTATGCCTATTTTCCCATAATCCCTCCAACATTTGTCATTTTCCTTTGTTGCCATCTTTGCCTATGATCACAGAGCTAATATTAAATGAAATTCAAATCCAAGTGTACTGACTTCAAATTCAATACTTTCTACTAAGTTGCAGTATTTCTCATTTATCACTTTCTACAAAGTATCCTCAAGGAACATACAACCTAATAGGGGAGATAAGCCAAGTGTACAAATACAAAATGAAATATAAGTAATTGTGTGATATAAACATAATGCTATGACTATAATTAGAAAATCTATAATGCAAATAGTAATGACATCATCATAATAAGCATAATATGCAGCTTTCAAATACTGCCTCCTTTATTCATATAATTTCAGCTACTAGGTTATGACACATAAGATCTCTGTGAACTAAGGCAGGTTATTACCTTTGGATCCATTTTCTGCTTGGTGTAAACTCCATTTGCTGCTGTGAAGATATCATTAAGGAATACAAAAATGTAGCCTTCCAAATTAAAACTCAGATCAGAGCTGGCGGAGGAACAAAAGGAGATTATTATTATTTTTAAAACCTTGAACTATTGTCCCAAAGCCTATTTTAAACTGGTTTATGTTTCCTCTAATAGTAAACAATCAATGTTTCCTATTTTTCTTTGTTTTAGTGTACAGTATGCTACTAACATCCTTTTGTTTTATCTACAACTAGAAACCCAAGTCCAAAAATTAAACTCAGATTACATAGAATAAAAATAGCCAAAAATAGATTGAAAGGAAATTAACTGTCTTCACTTAAATGCTTACCTATAATTTGGTAACTAAAACAATTGCAAATGGGAGTGAATTGTCCAATTATATAAAAGTTTTGTACAATTTCATTAGTGAAGTCACCCTTGGGTTACTAGTAACTAGAAAGTTTTGCTTCCTTCTCAACCCACTATGGAAACTAGATAAGAGCTCAGAGAAGGAAATGGACTCTAACTATCAAGATTTTGTGAGTAGCAGAAGCAGCATTGATCACCCCACCAACTGACACTAAAGTAAACACATTATTAAACATATGATCAGTCTATAAAACACTCCTATCATCTACTTTTTTCAAAGGCATTAAGTGTGTACATTTTTTTTCACATTTAAGGCAACTTTTAATATCCATTTTAGCCAGATTTCAGCTTTACAAAAATGTATATTGTAAAGAGAATGAATAATGTGGCTTGTTCTGCCTCAAAATCCACCATCAATGATGGTTAGTGAGCCAGAATCATAAAAATTAATAGAACTATATACAAATAAGATCTAACAAGATGACAAGCACTTCATAGAGGATCATGCAAAGTTAGAGCTAGAAGTTATTTTAAAGATTACTTAGTCTAATTCCCTCAGGTAGTATCTAAGGCAACTGAAGTCTAGAGAAACTGATTGACTTGCCCAAGGTCAAAAGTGTCAGAGAAGGACCTAGAACCCAGGTCTCCTGAATACTAGGTCATTGTTGCTTCCACTACATTAAATCAGATTTTGATTTTGTCATTTGGTTGTTCAATCATTCAGTAGTGTCTGATTCTTTATGACCCCATGAACCACATTTGTCCATGAAATTTTCTTGCCAAAGATACTGGAGTGGTTTGCCATTTCCTTCTCCAGTGGATTAAGGTAAACAGAGGTTAAGTGAATTACCTAAGGTCAAACAACTACTTAATTGTCCAAGGCCAGATTTGAACTCAGTTTTTCCTGACTCCAGGCCCAACGCCCTATTCACTGAACCATCTACCTGCCTCAATGCTTTTATGATAGGCACTGCCAATAATTTGGTCTTTTAAAAAAAAGGATATTTCTGGACATTTACGTCAACCTAGATTTGGAGAAATAATTTAAAATTCTCTGTTTGGGAGTTTCTTGTAAACAACAGCAAATACTGATCACGTCAAACTGGAAAACCTCTCAATTTTCTGCAAACCATTTTTCATGTTGAAGGAGAAAAAGCTTACTATATTTGCTGAAAGCAGCAACAACCATTTTTACTCGTGAGAACATAAAAGGTCAGGGTTCCAGAAAAAGACAAAAGTAGTATGAAAATTCTAACATCCTTTGGGGTGCCTGCCCCTATTTTCATCAAGACACTGCTGTTATCAACTGGCTAGTAGAATGCCATGAGGCAGAGACTGAAGTTTGTTTCTCTCCTCACCACCTCCCACTACCCTCTCCCCATAAACATGCTTTTTTCCTAAGGGCTTCAATTACTTTTCCCAAATCCAATTTTCCAGCTCCCCTATGAAAAAGCTCAGGCTTTTCAAGTATACATCAGTGCTATTTTGGGCACAAGAGTGGGGAGAATGGATTACTTTCATTGTACACAATATCTGAGTGTGGCTTCTACCATGACACAACTCAATGTATTAAGTACTAATACTGGTGGAAAAAATCTTGAATTTGCTTCAAAATATGAGCAAGCATGAGATTTATTGTTATTGTTCAGTAGTCTCTGACTCTTCATGACCCCATATTCGGAGTTTTCTTGGCAAAGATACTGAAGTAGTTTGCCATTTCCTTCTCCAGTTCATTTAACAGACAAGAAAATGAAGTTAAGTGACTTTCCCAGGGTTACATATCTAGTAAGCGTCTGAGGCCAGATATGAATTCACAAAGGTGAGTCTTTCTGACTCCAAACCTGGCAGTCTATCTACTTTACCACCTAGTTGCCATTAAGCATGAGGTAAACACAGAATGAAAGAATGTGGGAGCTGGAAGTGACTGTATGTCATTTAATCTAACCTCCTCATTCCACCCATGGGGAAATCAAGGCCCAAAAAGGTTATTTGATTTGTCTATGTCCACACAGAACCAGGACTAGAACCCAGATAATCAATTGAATTTTCCTACTACCTTGGTACTCACTCTGAAAATTGTAATCTGCTGGGAAGACTATTCACCCAAACTGACAGCTAAGGTATTATTCAGTACTTTAAAGAAAAGATGTATTTCTACTCAATTCTCCCAAGAATCTGTGAACATACAGCCTGAAAGAAGGAATACCACACCTTATTATGAATACATAACCATTATTATACTTCAGTTTTAAAAATTGGGGAATAATCTAAGTGACAGTCAATCTAACTCTTATTACTGAGAAACATTATTCAGTAACAGACAAAGGGATAGACATGGCATCAGGAGAAACTTGGGTTCCAATGCTTATGTATTGTGTATGTGTTTGGGAAAGTCAAATAACCTCTCTGTTCTTCAGTTTCCTTGTCTGTAAAATGAGGACAAAGAGATAGGCAGAGCCTGTCTTCACAGGGTTGCTATAAAGAGTCAATGATAAGATAGAAGAGAGGACAGAGTAGGGGAAGGGATATTCAGAATGCATGACATCTTGGGGTGGGGGGAGGGGAGAGATGGGGTGAAAATTTGGAACTCAAAAACTTGTGGAAGGGAATGTTGAAAACTAAAAATAAATAAATTTATCTTAAAAAAAAGAGTCAATGATATAATGTATGTAAAAGGATTTTGTTCACCTTAAAGTGCTCTACAAAATGCCAGCTATTATCATTACTATGTGGAAGGCACTGGATTAGGTGCTAGAGATACAAAGAGAGGCATGAGGCCAAATCTGCTCTTGAGGAGTTGATGATCTAAAAATTGTACATGTATTTGGGCTACTATGTTTAACACACTAGAGAAGAATACTATGGTACTGTACTGAAAGTACAGTACTCCTCTGAAGGGAAGATAAAGATCACAAATAAATAATGAGTCTCTTGCTAGGCTTCCAGTCAAGTTCTCCACAGCCTCACCGGGGGCTCAGAGGTGACCATGGAAACTTTGAAAGTTATGCCAGTAGAGGACAAGTTCTGCCAGATCCTACCAAGCTGGAGAGACTTCAAGTGTTAGTTTAGGTGTGGAAAATATCTGTCGATCAAAAAGTAGGCTAGCTAAGCCTACTGTAAAATGGGGATCATAGCACCTATGCCACAAGGTTGGTGTGAGGCTCATATGAGATCATACTTATAAAAAGCTTAGCATAGTGCCTGGCACAAAGTGGGTGCTTAATAAATGCTTGTTCTCTCTTATTCCTCCCTCCCCTTCCCCTCCCTTCCTCTTCCCTTCTTCTCTGAGCTTGGAAAGGCTCATCATCAGAAGTCCGGTCACTGCATGAAGAATGTTTTAGCCACAATAGTTCACAAAGAGCTTGGAATAAGTTATCATGGATATCATGGAAGGAGTGCCCATGCGGGTGACCTCATGGATCACTTAAGTTTGAATCATTGTTTATTAAATAAATATTAAATAGTCTCCTTGATGCCTAAAAGAATCAATTTAGTAGTTGTAACTAAACTTTGGGCTCAACCTTTTGTTGTTGGTAGTAAGAGCCAAAATGCCTTCCAAAAGAGAATGTGATCATAACATCTTGACTTACAAAAGGAAACAGAAACTAAGAGTTTGGATAACTGACTTCAATATATAAAGCTTATAGTCTTCCTCATCTTTACTTCTTAAAAATCTCCAGTTTCCTTCAAAACTCAGGTCGCATGCCACCTCCTGGATGAGGACTTTCCTGAACCTCTCAGCTGCTAATGTCCCCACTAAAATTCTTTCATATTTTGGTTGTACATCTTTGCGTATACTTTATATGTAGAGATTGTTTCCCTTTATAGAAATCAAATCCTAGGACAGGAATAGTTTCTTTTTTTTTTCTTTGTACCTCTGGTGCCTCACATATTTCCTATACATAGGGACTAGGGACTAGACCTGTGATTTCACTGATATATGGAAATCTAGGGTGAAGAAATATGTGGTAGTGATTGAATTTGATACCTTCTCAGAAACTTAAGTTTTGGAGAGTCCCTTGGGGTGCTGAAAGATGAAATTATTGGCCCAGGGTCATATAACCAGTATTTGTCAGAGGTAGTATTTGAACCCAGGCCTTCCTAGCTCCAAAGATAGCTCTCTAGTCATTACACCACACAGACTCTTGACTCTTGCCTGGCACGTAGTAATCAATTAATAATTGTTGTTTGATTTGGCTAGTTTTAAATGAACAGGATTCTTTTTTATACCAATAATTATGGTTTGAATTATTAGCATTAGACTTTCTCCTAAGCATACAGATATATTTTAAAATTATTCAGTCATAGTATTTCACTTACTGATCTCATCAGCTCCTATGGATTCCATTACATCTATGCTGATGATTTTCAAATCTACTTATCCTGCCCAAAATTCTGCTGAACTCCAATCTCATATCTCCAATTGCCTTTCAGATATCTCAAACTGCAGACATCTAAAATTCAATACATTCCACACTGAATTCCTTTTTTTTCCCTCATAACCACTCCTTCTGCTGAACTTCCCTGAACTATTGAGCATACCACCATACTCTTAGACCCCCAGGCTCAAAACCTAGGTGTCATCTTCAACTCCTAGCTCTCTCTCACCCCTCTTTTATTCAATCTTTGCAGAACCTATCGATTTCACCTTTGCAACACCTCCTTTCCTCAGATATGCCATTGCTCTAGTGCAAGCCCTCATCCCCCCAGGTGTGGGCTATTAGAGTCTGCTGATTGGTCTACCTGCCTCAAGTCTCTCCCCACTTTATTTCATCCTCCATTCAGTCACTAAAGTGATTTTCCCAAAGTTCTGGTCCAACCATGTCAAACCCTGCTCCCACTCAATAAACTCAAGTGGCTCCCTATCCCTTATTGCCTTCAGGATTAAATATAAAATCCTCTGTTTGACATTCAAAGCCTTTCATAACCTAGCCCTAACCTTCATCTTTCCAGTTCTTGCGCTTTACACCACCTCTCACATAATCTTTGATTCAGTGACACTGGCCTCCTTGCTGTTCCTCCAACAAGATATTTATTTCTCAGCTCTGGGTATTTTCACTGGTGCTTCCCCCATGCCTGGAATGCTCTCCCTCCTCATCTGTGCCTACTGCCTCTCCTGGCTTCTTTCAAGTCCCGGCAAAAACCCTACCTTCTACAAGAAGACTTTCCCAATCTCTCTTAATCCTAGTGCCTTCCCTCTGTCAATTATTTCCTATTTAACCTGCATATGGGTTGTTTGTACAAGTTGTTTACATGTTGTCTCTGCCATTAGATGATAAGCTCCTAAATGGCAGGGACTGTCTTTTGCCTTTCTTTGCATCCCTGGAGTTTATACAGTGCCTGACATGTAGTAGACTCTTTATAAATGTTTACTGACTGACTGACTGTAGGAATATCACATTCCATACTTCATGAAGTAGCATGGAATGAAAAATAGTTATAAACTCTGAGTACTCTTTAAATCTTTCATAATTCTGAACAGAAAACTAAGAACCTTTCAAGTAAAATTATTGAGACACTCTCATATAGAAGCCAGCAATTTATTCTGTTTACAAAGAAAAGCCATTAATACCTTAGAACAGAGGTTCTTAATCTTTTTTGTGTCATGAACCACTAAGAAGATTGGTGAAGCCTATGGATTCCTTCTTAAAATAATGTTTTTAAATGTATTAATAAAATATGTGAGATTCCAAAGAAAATCAATTATAATGAAATACAGTTAAATTTTTTTTTAAAAAGTTCATGGATCCCAAATTAAGAATCTCAGACCTATAATATCTCTTAGATAACATTTACTCAATTACAACACAAATCTGATATACTTAACTGCTTATTTATCTGGGCAGATACACTACATGTAAAAATATTTTTGGCAATTAGGAACAATGAAGCTTCAACAGACTTCATAGGATCACTGATTTAAATGACCTTAGAGGTCATCTAGCTCAAGCCCCTCAATTTTCAAGTGAGGAAACTGAGGGTTAGGGAGGTTAAATGACTTGAGCAAGATCACCAAGATAGCAATAGTCAGAATTTGAACCAAAGTCCTCTGGAATCAAATCTGCTTTTTTCCTCCTACTTTGCCATTATGGATTCCTATCTCTTTCTCATTTCAGTTGCTTTTGTAGATGCCTGTTTAGCTGAAGTATTTCTATTGTAAATTGTCCTCCTTTAGGTAACTATAAGATGTTAATATTTTTCCATACTCAGGAAGGCATTTATTCAATTATGGAAGCTAGGTTGACCTAAATGATGCTTGCAACAGCCTGCTTTTTTTCTCTCGCTTCAACAACCATGGGCCCCAATTTTAGTAGTAAGGAAAATATTGATCTCAGTAAGCATCCTGATACATACAGGTTACCCTAATTTGAGGTTTTGGTTCCCTTTTTAACATGAATAGAATAGTATTTATGGTTCTAAAACACACTGAGCAGCTTTGTAGCAGATGATTCTCAAAATAGTCAGCTACTCCAAAACATCTGCCAACCATAAAACTTCTTTATTCCAAACCAGACATACAGCTGAATTTAAGATTGTTCTTCAATGTCAAAGGGAAGAAATGATATTACTAAATGAGAACAATTGAAAGTCTTACCCAGCAGCTATAAAAGCCCCAAGAATGATGGCAAAGACACTAACTATGATGTTCAATGAGTAGTGTTTTCTGTAAAATAAAAGGAAAAAAATGAAATATGGATCACTTTTGGAAGACAGATGAAATGTCTAAAAAGAAAATGTCAAACATAGAAGGCTGGATGATTGATAATTCCCACCAGACCAAACGAACCCACCTTTTACTATATGCAGCCTTCTGAATGGCAAGGAAAATCTTTGTTCACATTGGACAGATTTTGTAATAGAGTCTAACAGTGGTGGGTCTAGGTGGTATGTATCTAATATAAATGTTCAAAAGAAAGCATTACTATATCAGTTCTACTGAATAGTAGAAATTTAAAAAAAATACCAACATCAAAAAGCACTTGCTCCAAACACAGCCAAAATCAAGAAATATATGTTGGGTGCTACCTGACTATAACATTATAAACTTTATTGTAATTAATTATTTTAGCCTACTTTGGGATCAATATAGCATGAGCCCCCTGCCATTGAGGAATTGATATATATTCTAATAGGCTTAAATGACTGACTCACTGAATTCTGCCGCAAGCAATGCCAGTTATTCTTGAAGTCTAGGTTTTAAGGTTTTGTGAATAATGTTTCCCTCAATTAGCATATTCAGAGGAACAGTACTGATTCTACTTGATAAAAAATAATAACAACAGCATCACCTTATCCTCTTTTGCATAGGGAGGGACTATTTGAGTACAGAATATTTGTCATTTATCGTTACCATATTGGCTGTGCTGACTGGCTTTGTTTACTTTTTTTGTTGCTGTTGTTACAGCAGATAGCTTGCTAGGTAGTAGAGAGGGAGGGTATATCCAGAAACAAAGGTGAAGTAAAATCAAAAGCTATCAATAAAATAAGTTTTCAAAAAAATTTATACACACATACATACGTGTGTGTGTGTGTGTGTGTGTGTGTGTGTGCACGTGTATGTTTATGAAGGTGCTAAGAGAGTGGAGAAGAAAAGGGGGAAAAATAATAAAAAATCACCTGAGTATGATAACTTCCAGGAACAATGTAAGTGGAATGGTAAACTTCCTGAGAACTGTAAACATGGGCAAGCTGTGAGAGAAAGATCCAAGTACATCATTAGATACAAAGGATTTGTATTTGTTTTACATCTAATTTCACTATTCACAGTAAATCAATGGATGAACCACAAGGAATTAGCAACTTTCATTTTTAATCTTATCCCTAATATTTATGAGCCTTTTATCAAGTTCTCATCCTCATTAGAGACTGAGTACAATATTTGGACAGAAATTCTTACATTCAATGTAGTGGAACCTCAGGACAGATGACAAATTTCTCTAAAAATGGACAGGAAGGGGCAGCTAGGTAGTGCAGTGGGTAGAGTACCAGCCCTGAAGTCAGAAGGACCTGAGTTCAAATCCAGCCTCAGACCAAACACTCGACACTTAACTAGCTGTGTGACCTTGGGCAAGTCACTTAAGCCCAATTGCCTAAAAAAATTTTTTTAAATGGACAGAAAAAGCTGATGACCAGATCAGAATAGGCCAAAGTACCAAAGGAAAGATCTAGCAGTTTTTCCTGAATAAGAGTGAATATGTACTATGAATGGCAATGGAATTAGGATTTTGTTTACATGGACCTTGAAGACCTCAAGTTGTTAATAAAAATTAGCTCATTTCAATTTCAGTTTGGCAAACATGTATTAAGCACTTACAATATGCAAAGTATTATGTGCGCACTTTTATTTTATGAAAGCAAAGGTGCAGAAAGCTTCTGGTTATCAAATAGGTGAAAAATAATTTTTAAACATTTTCTTTTAAAAGTCAATGATTTAGGTGGCCAACCATGGTTATTGATTTCTTTCCTCTCAACAAAGTATTTGCAATATTTTTTAAAAAAGAAATAACTAAGAATGCAAAAAAAAATTAAACCTCTAAAAAGTTTTATTCTTTTTATAAAGAATTGTGAATTCCTCTAGAATATTTTCTATATTACACTACAATACAATTTCTTAAATATTCTCATTCTTGAGAAATTAGATTTCAAATTTTAAAACTTGTTAGCAAAGCACCAAGTCTCTGTGATACTGCTAAAATCAGATCAACATTATCACTGGGCACACAGACTCAGGTTTGACTCCAGAGATAGACAAGACTCAATTATTTGTACTGTCTCTATCAGAAGGGATCAGGGTCATGGACAGTCAAGAATAATTTTCATTTGGTTTTGGAATGTATTTGATTATACATTTTTCCTACAACAGCTTTACCTTTTAATTATGTTGTGTTTAGCATATTGAATTTCCTAGGTATATAATTGGGGTTGTAAGGGCTGGGGACAAGCAAAAGTGATAAGGAAGAAAGGAAGAATACTAGGCACTGTGCTAAGAGCTTTACAAATATTATTTCATTTGATCCTCACAATAACCCTGTAATTATTCTTGCTATTATTAAATATATGCTGTTATTATCCCCACTTTACAGTTGAGGAAACTAAGGCAAACACAGGTTAAGAGGCTTGCCCAGGATCATACAATTAGTAGGTGTCTGAGGCCAGGTTTGAACTCAGGTCTTCCTCACTCCAGGCCCAGTACTCTATCCACTGCACCACCTAGAAATAAGTTGGGTCACTAGGAAAACAGTTTTAGAATCAAAATTTTACCATGTCCACAAATAGGAATTCATACCTTTTCCACTCATTAATTGCTTTTTAGTAAAGAATGATGCTAAACCTCACTTCTTTTTTTTCTGCCCAAAGAAGATACAGCCTTTGAATGCTCAGGATTTTGGTTTCTAGTGACCTGCTTTAAGAAAGACTCTGACAGGGGCAGCTAGGTGACGCAGTGGATAGAGCACCGGCCCTGAAGTCAGGAGTACCTGAGTTCAAATCTGGCCTCAAACCAAACACTTGACACTTACTAGCTGTGTGACCCTGGGCAAGTCACTTAACCCCAATTGCCTAAAAAAAAAAGACTCTGACAAAGTATTAGTCTTACTTCTTTTAAATCCTTTGGAGAACTTGTACAAATAGATGAGTCCAAGAACTCTATAACAATGAATATATTATGAACAAACAATTAAGAACAAAAGATAGCAACAAATGTTCTCAAAAGAATTGTAAACAATTAACCATATGAAACCTGGCTCCAAATCACTAATAAGAAAAATAGCAAATCAAAACAACTTTGAGTTTTCCCCTAACACCCAGAAAAGCTGTCAAAGTCGACAAGTTATAAATGACCATTTTGAAGCAGTTTATCAGAAAATCAATGCAGTAATACATTTTTGGTGAAGTTGAATGCATTGGTTCAGATGTTCTGGTGAGTAAACTGGAATTATGACAATATAGTGATGGAGGCAGCTAGGTGGCGCAGTGGATAAAGCTTTGGCCTTGGAGTTAGGAGGACCTGAGTTCAAATCCAGCCTCAGACACATGACACTTACTAGTTGCGTGACCCTGGGCAAGTCATTTAACTCCAATTGCCTCACTAAAAAGGCAAAAAAAAAGAAAGAAAAGAAAAATATAGTGATGGAAATAGCCATGTACTTTGACACATAATTTCTACTACTACTAGGCCTATACCTTAAGGAAGTTAATAATAAAAACAAAGTCCTATGTGCACTAAAATATTCATATTGGCATGTTTTCTTATAACAGAGAACTAGAAATAAAGCGTACATTCATCGATTGGGGAAATGAACAAATCTTGATATATCAATGTAATCACTGTCATTTATTAACAAAGAACCCAAAGAATTTTGAGAAGCATGGAAATGTATATATAAAGGGAATTATATAAACATATATAGAGTGAAAGAAGCAGAACCAGGAAAACAATATACACAATGATCACAAGAGTGTAAATGGAAAGAATAGTAAGAACAAGAAAACTAAAAACCAATTACAATGACCAAGCATGGTCCAGAAAAAGAGATGAAAAAATGCACCTCTTTCTATTCTTTGAAGAGGTGGGGGACTCTAAGTATGGAATACCACATATACTTACTTGGCAAGTGTGTTACTTAGTTTTCATTAACTACTTTTCCTTCTTTTTTTTAAAAAAAAATTCTCTTATGAAGGATGGCTTCCTGGGAAGGATATATGCAGAAATAAAGATGATATAAAAACATCAATCAGAGATGGAGTCAAGATGGCAGAGTAGCAGGGGAAAGTATATCTGATCTTTCCCCCACAACTCCTTCACAAAGACCTAGTGTATATGCCAAACTAAGTCCTGATTAGGAAATCCAAGGGGAGAAAAATCATAGAAAGTAATTTATCCAACCAAAGAGAGATAAGACTTAGAGGTCTAAAAATATAGGGAAGGGGCCTAGTCGGAAATGGCCACATGATCTACTACAATGTACATCATGCAAGAAGTGGTCCCAAATCCAAAACTTGGGTAGGGGTCAGGAATTGGTGCCTACTGGCAGCTTTTTTGCTCATCAGACAGTTCTAGGTTACAGATCCAGAGCAGAATGAAAAGAAGCTTTGTACCTAAGGATGATGTTCCAAAGAGATAAGAAGTTATGGGCTCTAGACTATGCAGTAAGCAAGAATCAAGTTTAGAAGCAAGCAACAGCTGAGTGTCTCTGACCTCAGGAATGGGATCAGAGAGGTCAAGACTCCTGGACCACAGGGAAGACTGCAGTTCTATCTTGCTGAACCAGCAGAGCTTTTCAGCTGGCTGACGTTGCCTGAATCCAGCAGCAGTCTACAGAAACTCCAATCTAAGCAAGCCCAAAGGCATGTTGCTCAGACACAGGAACTTGCAGACAAGGAGGAAATAATCAAACTTTGTCCTAAATCAGACTACTTTGGGAGCACTGAATGCTTGCAAGTACCCAGCCTAACCGGTCCCTAAGAACCTGGAATAATAACACTCAATAATCCAAAAAAAGCAGCAAAAGGATTAACCCAAACATTCTTCCAGCCAGAAGTAAAAAGACCCAGGTACTAACATAAAAGGATGAAGTCAAGAAGTAATCTGGAAAAATAAACAGATTTTTTTAAAAAACCACCATTAAAAAGTTTTTATGGTGACAAGGACACTCAAGATACAAACCCAGAAGAAAAGAATGATTCTAAAATGTCAATAAACAAAACCTCAAAGAAAAATTCAACTTGGAGGGGCAGCTAGATGGTGCAGTGGGTAGAGCACCAGCCCTGAAATCAGGAGGACCTGAGTTCAAATCTGGCCTCAGACCAAACACTTGACACGTGCTAGCTGTGTGACCTTGGGCAAGTCACTTAACCCCCATTGCCTCACCAAAAAAAAAAATTCAACTTGGGTAAAAGTTCAATGAGAATTCCTGGAAAAGAAGCAGCAAAACATTTTCAATGAGTTTAAAATGTTTCTTATAAATGAAATGAAAGCACTAGAAGGGGGAAATGGGAAAAAAAATTAGAACTATAGAAGAAATAACTGAAAAGGGAAATGACAACTTGGCACAAGAAGTATAAAACCTTACCCAAGTAACAAACTCACTGAAAATTAGAAGGGATCAAATGAAGAAAACAACCCATGAGAAAACAAGAAATGTTAAAACAAAGTCAAAAGACTAAAAAAAGAAAAGAAAATATAAGACATCTTATAAGAAAAACAACTGACCTGAAAAACAGTTCAAATAGAAAGAATTTAAGAATTACAGGACAACCTGAAAATCATAGCCAAAAAAAAAAGAGCCTAGGGGCATCATATTTCAAAAACTCTTACAAGAAAACTGCCTAGATCTCATAGAAGCAGAGGACAAAGTAGGAATAGAAATAATCTACCAGTCTTCCTCCTGAAAGTAATCTCAAAATGAAATCTCTTAAGAACTGTATTTCTGTACCCAACTCTGTGTATGTATTTTTCCTTCTTTTGAACAGTTTAGAAGAGTATGAGGTTCAAGTGTCATCAACTCTCTTTTCTGCTTGTTTGTATAGACTTCTACTTGCACATCCTGATTGTGTGATTCCCAAGAACATTATATCCAAAATCCAGAGCTTCCAGATCAAAGAAAAAAAATTTAAGCAGCCAGAAAAAAAAAATTGAAGTACTGAGAAGCCACAGTTGGTATCATACATTATTTAACAGCCACCACTATAAAGAAATGGAGATATTTCCAAAAGGAAAAGGATATGGAATTACATTCAAGAATAACTTACCCAGTAAAACTTTGCATAAGTCTACAAGGGGAAGAAGCGACCTTTAAAAAAAGAGAACTTCCAAGTTTTCCTGATGAAAAAGTCCAGAGCTGAGTAGAAACTCTGAAGTACAAACAGAGGAGTTAAGAGAAACATAAAAAGGTAATCATGAGTGACCATAAGGAACTAAAAAAGGATAAGCCGCTTCCATTCTAACATGAGCAGATGATACATGTTTCTCCTCGGAGTACTATCATCCTCAGGGGTCACAGAGGGAATCTAATTCATACAGAAGTCCTGAAAGTGATTCTGTTATGTTTTGGTGATCTTAAAAATGAAAAAGGAAGACAAGAGGAATATGCTAGAGGGTACAGAAAGAAGAAGATGGATGGGGAAAATCATCTTGAATAGTCAGGGTGGGCAAGTAGAAGTCTACAACAAGGAGAAAGGAGAGCTGATTACACCTGAACCTCACAAAATGTTCAAAAGAGGGAAAAATATATTAACAGCGTTGGATACAGAAATACATTTCACTCAACAAGGAAATCAGGAAGAAAAGAGAAAAAGGTGAATAAGAAAATTAAGAGAGGGGTTAGTCCTAAGCAAAACAAACTCTAACAAAGGGTGTTTAAAAAAAAATTACAGCAGTTCTTTCTTGTGGTGGCAAAGAATTGAAAACTAAAGAGGTACCCACAAATTGATGAATGGCTGAACAAGTTACATCATATAAATGTGATTTAATACTATTATGCTGTAAGAAATGAAGGGGTTGGTTTCAGAGAAACTTGGAAAGTCTTGGTCTTGCATAAATGAGGCTGTCTCCCTACCTCTTACAGGTGGGACACTCTGTGATTTTGCAATACATAGCCATGAATCCCACTACCCCTTTACTACCTTACATGTGGAGATCTCATTCTTGGAAATTCATTTTTGAATAGTTATCTTTTTTTCCTGTTGCTTTCTTGCCTGTTATTGGGATTTTTGTTTTATTATTTTAAAGGTTATTTTAATTTTTTATTGGGTATTGTTAGTAATGGTTTTGAACTTCTGTTGATGATATGTGGCAGAAATTTTGTCCCATTAATTTTTATTGTACTTTTTTATGCTTTTATTTCTCAATTATTTAATTCTAAATATTTTGAATTTTAATATTTTAATTTTCCCATCCTAACATTTAAAAGCCTGTTTTACTTTTTGCCTTGTTTCATATTTTGTACTTTTCTTTTGTTTCCAATTAAATTTTTACCTCTCCACTCCAAAAATTTTATCTTATTTTTTTTTCTTTACTATGAGCAGGGTATTATTACTACAGCTCCTTTTGAATGCATTTGCCATTTTGCTTTTATTTGGGGAATGCACACATTTTGCATATTTTTTGTTGATCTGCTGTATTTCCACAATAGCCATTTATTTCAGGAAGGTTCTGCTTCATTGCTAATTTCATTTTCAATCTTGTTGGGTGTTGTTCCTAGCCTCTTAGGGACAATCATTTTTCCCATAACCTATATGAAACTGACATAAAAAATATCATGTGTTACTGATGCTACTACTATTAATGTATGGACTATATTAATGAGGCCTCAGGTTTATGTGGCTATAAGCATAAGCAAATGTTTTGATTTACAACATAATGTGTGTATATTTATTTGCTATATTTGGATACTATGTTGCTAAGATCCTGGGGGTTTTTTGTTTGGAGGTTTAGGGAGAGGGGGCATTGTATCAACTGACTGGTACAGCTACTTCAACTTTGACACTATGAACTCAAGTAAGTGCCAAGACACTTTCTAAGTGTACCTTCCTTACTCTTTTGGTCACTCATCATCTCCAATCCCACGACTTTTGGATCTATATTTGTCTGCTTCTATGTCCATTAGAGTCATTCTGTACCTTCTTTATTCCATTTTTTGGATCCTTAACATTCTACATTTCTTTCTTCACATTTTCTTTATCTTTTATTCTTTCTACCATCACCATTTTCACATCTAGAGAAGCAGTCTGACATAGCGGATAGTGCACTGATATTGGGCTCAGGAGACCTGGTTCAAATCCTGCCTCAAACACTTAGTAACTATGCAAGCATGAGCAAATCATGTAACTTCTCATTCCCTCAGCTTCCTCATTTTGCACTCCCAACCTTACAAACTTCCTGAGAAGACACTGCTTTTTATTAAATCATAGATCAAGAGTTGTTAGGGAGGTCAGAGGTCATCTAGTCCAATCTCTTTCTTGTCCAAAGTCACACCATAGCAGAGGCAGGGTTTGATCCAAGGGCTTTTGTCTCCAGAGTCAGTGCTTTTTCTACTATATAAGCAAGTTAATAATATCTCTGTGAGTTCTATCATTAGAACACTGAATGATGACCTCTAACACACAACTATAAATAAAAAAACTTTAGACACCTCTAGCACAAAACTGATAGTGACCATTTAGCTTTATTTTTTTCTCTAAATAACGCAGCTGACATTTAGCACAACTGACAAAATCTTCTTGCTTATATGAAATGGGGTGAGGTGAGATGGGGGTGGGGAGGACAAATAGGAAGCGAAGTTTCATGTTCACATAAATGAACCTGCCTGTCATAAGTTCTCTGACTTCATTATCTATCTCCTATTTCACCCACACCTGCTGCTTTAGCATCTGCAAATTTCAAACAAAGCTTAACTAAAAAGCTTTTTTTTAATTAAAATTTGGATGGTAAAAGAAAAAAAGTAATTCATGTAAATCAGGCTGAAAGTGGATCCTTAATGTCTTAAAATACAGAATGTTAATTTCTCTGTATTCAACACAAAAGAGGAAATATTAGAGAAAGGGTAAAACATCTACCTTGGAGTCAGAAAGACCTGAGTTCAAGTCCTACCACTGACAATTTCTAATTCCGTGACAACAGGTAACTCCTTACCATGCCCCAGACAGTTTCTAAAACTATAACTTATAGTTTCTTATCTTTTTCAGTAGAGGAAGTTAATATATCAGGCATTTTCTAAACCAATGAAAGCATAAACCTCCCTCCCCAAATGCAACTCAAATAGAACAGTGTTTTGATTATTTCTTCTCCATACCTAAAAAAACCCCCAAACACACACATAAAGCAATCTTAACTACATTTAATCTTAATTGTACCTCAGTTTACTTGTGCTTGACAATCCACTTATGTGATTTCCAACATAAAGGAGAGGCAGAGGAAACAGCTGCAATTTAAAAAAAATGAAAATGTAGTAGTTACTATAGATCAAAATTATAGATTTTTTTAAAAGGTAAATTTGATTGCATGACACACGTCACCAGTGGAAAAGACACTTTAAGTTGCTTTCCAGGAATGATAATAGATTTGCATTGATCCATCTTACACTTCTTCCCAAAGTTTGCTGTACAATCAAGGATATGCATATCTAAAATTGTTGGCTAGGGTTAAAAATGCAACCAGTGGGGGAAAAAACTAACTACAAATTGAAACCATATTCTTGGTTGCCTCAGCACAGTGTCTAATCAACTGAGTCATCCAAACTGTAACCCAGTTAAATAGTAGTAATAGTAATAGTAGTAGTAGTAGTAGCAGTAGTAGCAGTAGTAGTAGTAGTAGTAGTAGTAACTGACATTATATAGTATATTCTAAATGTCTTGGGGCAATTTTAAGCTATTAAGCCGTTTTAAAACATTTAGGATACCAGGTATAGGACTTCAAAGTTTTCAAAGAGCTTTATATACATTATCTCATTTGAGTCTTACAACAACCCTCTAAGCTAGGCCCTACAGGTATGATTATCCTCATTCTACAGATAAAGAGACTAGGGCTTAGAAAGCTCCAGAAGCTTGCCCACAGTCACATACCTTGTAAGTGCAAGAATTGCCTTGCCAACTGCTAGTAGGTGTTAGAAGCAGGATTGTTCTAGAACAACAACAATAATCACCAGAGCACATCACTAGACTTACTTCTAAACGCTGAGCGATTACAACAGAGAGTGACAATTTTGTGTAAAAGATTTGCCTTTAAGGTTTGAGCCTTAAAAGAAATTAGAACTAAGAATTCTACCATAATCAGCAGTCTAGTTATCATTATACTAGTCTATTAACTACAGTACCATCTGGATTCCAACTGCAAAGGAGTTCCAATCTCACCCCTAGGCATAACAGATAGAAGAAGTGGAGTACTGAGATTTAATACACACAAGATGAAGGAGATTCAGGCATGTGATCATGAACTCTACCTAAAGTACTTTCTTTTTTAATCAAACAAAAAGAAAACTCACATTCTATGGGGCAGAGGAAAATAGACAATTTTTTAATGAAAGAATGTACAGATTTGTTGATAAAATACAAATTAGATATTTGAATCTGTCACATTAATAGGAACATAACAATACAAAGTGGACAATGCATATCAGTGGAAATCAAAATCAGTCCACAATGGCAAATAAAAAACAATCTACTGTTTCCTTCAACATACTTTGGATGGATTGTTCATTTACATGCTGAGTTCCAGATTTCCCCACTCCACTTGCCACAGTGATACACGTTTGAACTAAAATAGGTCTAGACCTCAGGAATCTGCTTTCACCATCACATAACATAAGGGGTCTATCTGCCTTTGCTTGTGTCTGACCTCAGAGATCTACAGAACTCCCATGTAAGTGAGGTGGTGCACTGGAAGGGCTGGAGGGGTACTAAGGGAATAGGAATAGAATAAGGAATAGGTAAGACCTATGATTTCATTGATATAAAGAACTCTCAAATGAGGAAATTCCCTCTACCAATGCAGGCTAACCACAACACTACAACTTGAAGTCTTAGGGGGTTGCCTCCACCACTGAGAGATTAAGTAATTTGACAGGTCTTCCCAACTCTGAAGCCAGCTTTCTAGTCACTATGCACTCTTCTTCCTTCCCCTCCTACCCTCCTCCTCTCATTCGCTTCATATTCTCTGACATTTTCACATGCTTTCCACAACAATTATAAGTACTCTTATTACATACCTTCACAGGGATGGTTTTGTTAAAATCAGGAAATTGAATAATTTTATTTAGCTTAGATACATATAGTATCACTATAGTGGTTGCCATCTAAAGAGAGAGAAATACCAGTAAAATGCATGGAAGAAGTATTAAGCATTAAAAATCATGAAAAGTAAGGTAATAATAATAAACAAATATTGCAATAATTCTGAGATGCAGAAAAGTAATGAATTAATTCTTGAGATTTTTTTGTCCTTCTGTTCATTCCAGGCACATTATTTCAATAAGCCATTTGAAATAACAAAAATATTTTTTAAAAACTTATCCTTTATTCCAAGCACCTTGTTTTACACCAAATGGAAGGCATGGCTTTTGTCTTTAAGAGGGATAAACTAGCTACATTACTGCACCCAGGGAGGTGATGTTTGAAAGGCTTACTCATTAATAAATGGATACTTCAAATACTTTTTTTTAAATACTAAAAATTTCCCTCCAAATATTATACTCCTACTGTGCCCTTGTGCTAGCCCAAAAAGACTTGTTTTCGGATCCAGTGTGCACAAAGTTTAAAAGAACTATGACACATTGATATGATAGAGGCCATCACCAATAACAATGGATGCTTATGTAGCACTGTAAAATTTATCACATGGCCTCTTCCTTCCCTGGCTCATCCTTTTCTTGCAGAGTTGAGAGAAAGTAGAACACTGCATATAATGTCAGGTTCATTTGATATGTTGAGTAGGTTTGAGAAACTTCTCCCTCTTCCTTTTTTTATTCCGTGTGATAAGGAATTATTTTTGGTAAGGGGAAACAGGAAGACATATGGCAAGAAAAGTATGTGATGTAAAAACAAAAAAATCAATACGATGTATTTTTTAAAAATTAATACATGATTTCCTAATAATTAGCTACCTTGTAAGATAGGTGTTAGAATTAGAAGAGACTTTGGAGATAATTATAATAAAGGATATTTATGGCATTCTAAGGTTTGTAATATGCTTTGCTTTATAGAAAAATTATTTCATTTTGATGTTCACAACAACCTTGTTAAACAAATGCTACAGATGATATCCATCTTTTACATATAAGAAAACTGAGAGTAAAAGAGATGAAGAGCCTTGCTTAGGGTCATAGTTGGTAAGCATCTGAAGTGGTATGTTAAACTAGGTCTGCCTGACTCCAAAACCACCACCCTCCACATTCATTGTGTCTCAAGATAGGTTATACATTGAAAATGACGTCTTTATGAAATGAAAAGAAATATGTATGTATTCTTCTTTTTAAAGAGATCTCTTTGAATGAATAAATGAAATAAAATTATTTATTAAGTGTTATTATGTGCCATGTGTTGTAGCAATGGTATGGCTAGAAAATATGAGGTGAAATAAGGCAGCATTTTGTTCTATGGAATCAGATGCTTTTTAAAATAATGAACAAAGGAAAAGCACAGTAGGGTCCTGTATTCTCCATATCTTTCAATCAATTGTGTGAGGATAAAGATATGATCTACTGTAGAATGTCACTTGTGAAAATCTGCCTGCTCCTATTAATACCCTCATGGAGGATGCCCCAGATACATATACATATGTTGGACTGGAGTGTAAGGATTCAAAGTAAAGAGGCTAATGAGGTGATAATTGTAATAGTTCCTGGAAGAGGTGATGAGGACTTGAATCAGAGTAGGGATTATGTGAGTGGAGAGAAGGGGACATATGTGAAAGATGTTATAGAGTTTGAAAGTAAAAGATCTGGCAGCTAATTGGATATGAAGGGTGATTCTGAGTGAGGACTTGAGGACAACAGGGAGGTTGCAAACCTGAGTAAGTGGAAGGATGGTAGTGGTAATAAGGAAATTCAGAAGGATGGTGGGTTTTAGTGATGTGCTTTCTGTATTTAGCTCTACTGGTCCTTGGAACACAAACTCAGACTGTTGCCAGGGCTATATAAAGTAAAGCATAAGATATATTTTAGACACAGATGTTATTGTGAACACAATACTGGACTTGGAGTATGAAACACCTAGATCCAAATGCTGTGTCTGATACTAGTTGTGACCATGGGCAAGTCACAATTTCTCTGAGCCTCAGTTTCTTCATTTGTAAAATGAAAGCAATAATACCTAACCTACCTCAGGTTTGATGTGAAGCCCAAAAGGTATGTTAAACATGTCAAAAACTTTAAAATACTATCTAAAATCTTATCATTATTTTGCTTTGAAAGTGAATTGAAATTAAGAAAAACAAATGCTTTAGTCATTTTTATCATTCCTTTTATTATCATCTGTATTACTAACACAATTCTAGGATATAATCAGGTTTTGTCTAAGCTAGATTTTCAGGGAAAAGTAAAACCCAGTATTCAGCACAATACAATAAATTACAACTGTTTTATCTGTGTATAACCAGTTTATGGATGTTTTTGTGTCAGCTAGTACAGAAAATGAGTAGTCTACCTCAGACGTGGTTAATGTGCAATCTTGAGATTTAAATTCAGGGAAAAGTAAAAAGAGGGAACTTTATTGAGATAACAAAGTCTTATCTGAGATTCAACATAAGAAAGTTTATCTTAATATTTAATAATTTAATAATAATAAATTCTATTTTAAATATTTTCATTTAGACAATTGCATTATTATTATTCATATTAAGTTCTTCATAGAGAGACAGCATAGTATAATGCAGAGAGAGATGGCCTCAGAGTCAGGAAGACCTAGGTTCAAGTCCTTCTTCTGATGTGCATAACCCTGGACAAGTAATTAACTTCTTATTGTCTCAGGTGATTTTCTAAGAAGGTCAGTTATAAAGAAGACACTGCTCCTCATTGATAGAGGAAATTCCTCACCAGGAGCTAGCTCCCTATACTATTAAAATCACAGAGTCTACTCCAAAAAAAAAAGTTCATGGTAATATATGAATGGTAGAATTTAAGAATATTGAATAGTCTTGGTATTGAAGGCAATGTAAAAATTAGAATCCAAATTCATTCATTAGGATTTTTTTAAGAGAATGGTTGCTCTGCCTAATATTTGTTCTATGATTTTATCTCAGAATTTTAGGGCTAGAAAACACTTAAAAACCATCTATTCCTAACACTTCATTTCAAAATCCACTCTAAAATCAGATCACGTTTTCTATTATTCATAAATAAAAGCATTTAAGATTTTGTCAGAAATACTACCAATAGGTAAGAAATTGGTTTGTTTCACTTACCTGTCCAATTCCAAGAATTAAGGGTGATGGGAAACTACAAAGAGCACAGAACAATAAATACACTTAGTAGATAATAAAAAGTTGGTGAAATGACAAAATATGCATAATGAAAACATTGTGAATGTAGCTGGATACTTTTCAGTCCATGTAAATTCAAATACTAAATTTAGGGGCATTGGTTCATTTTTCTAACTAAGAAGACTAATACATTCCATCTATTAATAGTATTTACACAAGTCTCAATATATGGCCAGATAATTTGATTACTTATAAAATTATATTTTCTTTTCTCCAAATTGCTCTTGCTCATAAAAATTTCATAAAGTCACTTATTCTCAGTTTTGTAAGGGATCTCAAAGGCTAGCTAATCCAGCCCAAACAGAAACAAAAATCACTGAAAAACCACTTGTGAAAAGTATCTCTGGTGGGGTGTCCTTTCAGGTAAAGGTTAGTGTATATAACTGATGAAGTCCCATCGAAATGGAAAATTGTTATTCTATGATGTTCAACAGGCAAAAATAATAATAAATAGTAATAATAATAAAGCTAGCACTTGTATAAGGCTCTAAAGTTTGCAAGACACTTTACAAACATTATCCTATTTGATCCTCACAACCACCTTGGGAGGTAGGTGCTATTATCATTCCCATTTTACAGAAATTGAGGGAGATAGTAGTCAAATGACTTACCCAGGGTCCTACAGCTAGTTAGTATCTGAGGTCAGATTTTAACTCAGGTCTTCCTGACTCCAACTTCAGTGTTCTATCCACTGCTCTACCTAGCTGCCTCATTACTACACATGTGGTCTGACCAGGGCAGACTATTTCCAGTCATAGATGGAATACCTCTCCCAATGCAGGCTAAAACTTGATTAGCGCATTGTTTACTCATATTGAATTTTCAATTTACCAAAACTCCTAGATCTTTTTTCTAAAAAGATGAACTGCTGTCTAATCATATTCTTTCCATCTTGTACTTGCACAAAGCTGACTTTAAAAAAAAACAAGTATAAAACATCACTTTTATCCTTATTAATTTTTATTCTGTTAAATCTGGTCCAACATTCTAGCCTGTTAAAAAAAAACTTTTGTGTTCCTAATTTTGTCATCCCGTGTATTAGTTACCCCTCCCAACTTTGCATGCTCTACAAATGCAATATATTCATTCCTTTAACCAACTCATTAATACCCATAGGCAACTGTGATCTCACCAATCTGAGTATCCTCTCCAATGATCACAGTGTCTGGCACATAATAAGAGCTTAATAATTGCTTTAATATATATTCATTCAGTGATGTGGCCTTCAAAGTAGTCATGTGTGCCCAATTTGTACAGCTTTTATCCATGTCCTCCCATAAATTTGTGACACTAGGTCCACCCAACATGTTGAAAGCTCTCCTTATGCTACCTCTTCACATTTTGAGAATGCCAAGAGTATGCAAGCTGTCAGTTTACTTTCATTAATTCTCACTGGGTTTTTTTTCCTAGTTGTACCTTTCCTTTAAAATATCTCCTACATCATTCCTCCTGCACAAGTTCTTACTTGTGATATGTCGTTAATTCTTTGGAAACTGTAGCATTCCATGAATCAGACATATAACATGATCAGAGCACCATTGGAATTAAAAAGATGGACCTTTGTTTCAAAGATAAGTTTTGAATCATTCATTTCCCCCAAACAGTCTAGTCTATAATCTTCCTCTTGTTCAATTCTGAGCCTCATCTTATTGTCCATTCGCAATTTCTGTCCATGATATATCTGCTGATGGATGTATAGGTTAGGTTGCTCACTCAATTACATATGACAATCCTGAATAGTCATTTTTTATCTACTTGTTTTTATTCCTGTGTGGATAGTTAGACCAAACTCTCTTAAGTGGTGATGGATCTCATTTAAGAAGACTGGAAATGCTCCCTGGTTTGATGCTATCAGCATAATTTCATCTGCAAATACAGACATCTGGAGGATCTCACATCTGTAAAATATCCTTCTTCAACTTGGACTCTGCATTGAATTTCCTGAATAACTGTGGCAAATATCTTTTAGTGAGCATCCATCTCTCTGAATTATGCCTTGTTTACTATTAATAATCAGAGGATCAAATACTCTATCATTAGATCTTCCAGGTATTTTATATGACATGTATTCGTGGGAGACCACTTGTTGGAGAACCTTAAAAGAAGCATTTTGCACTACTTTTTATAGTTAACAAACAATAAGTACAGTGGGGATCTTATATTCTCCAAAGCTTTCATAATTGTGGAATGGTCACCATGCAAAAGTCGACATGTTCCCTTTCAATAATTTCACCTACGATGTCCTTAATTTATGTGTAGTCTATTTTCTTTTTTTTTTTGCATAGAATGGAAAATAAGCAAATGGATCAATAGTTACTGATATTCCCTCAGTTCCTTTTTTTTTTTTTTGGTAATAGGGTCTAAGGTTTCTCTCTACATCTTTGTATCCTTCTTTCTTTTATATCATAGGAATCAATCCCTCCATGCTCTCAAAATTGTGCCACCCGAAGTTGGGACCACCTATGTATATTTGGTTTAATTTAGCTTCTTTTACCATCAAGTCTTTATTCACTGCTATTTCCACTTCTGCAGGCAGCATATTGTAGCTGTGATGTTCAAGTTCAAATGCAGCAACTCTATTTGACAGTGAAAAGAATTTGTTATAAAAATCTTCGTAGAGGCTTGACACTTTGATTGATAGTCTCTTGACAAACTTTCTTTCAACTTGCTTTTCCCTTCACTGCTTCTGCTTCTTTTATGATGCAATATTATTCATAATCTTCCACTGTTCTCCATAAAATTTTACAAATGTTTTTAAATCATTGCTCCTTTTGGCGATCTCTCCAGTTAGTAAAAACAAGTGTTTTCTGGTATCTTTTGACCCCTACTTTGGCAATTGATTTATATGTGTTAAATTTCTCCATGACATTGTTATGTAAAATGGCTCAAAACCTAGGCATTTTGTTATTAATCACATTTTCATATGGACAGCATGAATTTTAAACCAAGAATTTATAGCCATCCCACTATTCTTTTTTGTTGCTTTTGCTTACCCCCTCCTGTTCATTTGTGTGGCAAGAGCTCTTGGGAGTGAATTAGATTTCAGAATTCTTATGGAATTCTAGTAGAGACCCCCTAAAATAGATTTCACGGACATGGGATCCCTATAGTAAATTAAGCAGGAATTATATGAAATTACAAACCCTAAATCAGACAGTTGTCCAGGATAGCCAACTAAGATTCGGCCCTAGACACAGATAGTTAAAACAAACAAACAAACAAAAAACACCTTAATCTTAGCATAGGAGCATTCTATCTGACTCATTTAAGGCACTTAGCTGGGCATGGTAGCCCCAGGTTTGATCTTAAAGAGTATCAACCTGCCCTTATTAATGAGAGGTTTTCTTGACATTGTGCTTTAGTAAACAGAAGTTGAGATGACCACCGGGGGTGCTGAAGAGATGAGGCTTGGAGATAATGGCAGAAAGAAGCTCCAGGACCATGCACCCAGTGGAGATACCTAGCAGCCCGGCAGCAACCAGAAGACTATACATCTAGCAGAAAGCACTGTGATGAAATCACCGAAGAACATGCCCTGTGGTCTCAGAGCTGGTGTTGTTCTGGTCACATATATTCCCTGCTTGTGCCTCCCCACCACCAACAATGCATATTCCCTATGCAAGGCCAGTATTCCTTAAGATAGTATGTGTATTTGTGGGAGAGTATGTCCCAAGTTTATGACTTGGTTTTTGTTTTTTTTTTTCGGGTTTTTTTTTTTTGCTATCTTCCTCCTTGATCACTTTTGCACTAAAGTAACTGACAAAGAAAGCATATGCTTATTTAATTTGGAAGATCTTACCAAGTTCTTCACACAACTATTCCACTTCTTTATCTTCTGCAATAAATGTTCATGCAAAAGCTGCAAATATTTTTGTTATGGTACTTTTACAAACATTGATTATGTTACAAGATGACCAATGTTCCACGTTATGTTTATTGTTGCTCTTGGACACTTGATAAGCCAGCCTTGCTAAGAAGAACCTGGGAACCACCCTTCCATTTAACGGCTTCCTTTTGTTTCCCGGTTTTGTGTATTGCAAGAATGTCAAGATTTATATGATTCAGTTCCTCCCAACAGCATGTTCATTCATTGTTCATTGAACAAGGACCTTACATTTAGTGTAGCAACACTAATTTTTAACATGTTACATAACACAGGGCCAACACAAGACCCTGGGGTACAACACCTTTCAAGATGATATAAAAGTCATAATATCTACTCTTTGGAACAATCATTCAACCAGGTCCAAATCCGTCTACCTTTACTGTCATTTATCTAATATATCCCAATCTTTTCTATAAGAACAGCATGAGAAATGTAATAGAATACTTTTACACCATAAGAATTGGTGAAAGGGAAGGTTTCAGATGAACCTAGAAAAATATTTATGAACTGATTCAAAGTGAAATGAGAACAGGAGAACAACTTATTCTATAACAATGTTGTAAAAACAAATAATTCTTAAATACTTAAAAATTCTGGTCAACACAATGATCAACCCTAATTCCAGAACCCTGATGATAAAGAATGCTATCCATCTCCTGTTGAAAGTGACAGACTTAAAATTCAAATAATATATACATTTGTAGATATGGTCATATAGGATTTTTATTTTTTCCCTGACTATGAATATCTGTTACACAGGTTTTGTATTTCTTCTTTCCCCCAAGAAGAGGGGTAGTGGGAGAGAGAAAAAAAATAAATGCTTTCAAATTGAAAAAATAAGATTTAATTTAGAAAAACAACAGCATGGAATTTTTTTCAAATGCTTTAAGATCTAGCATATAGCTAGATCTGTGTTGTCTTGATCTACCACCCGAATAACAATGTGAATAATGAAGTGAGCTCAATCTGCCTTGGCTTAATAAAGCCATTGTGATCACTTTTTTCTTACATGTTTCCTAAATTTCACCTTAATTGTATGTTCTAGAATTTTGCCTGGAATCACTGCCCTA